ATTCTTTTGTACCCTGATGATGTTGGCAGGAGCCAACGAAAGCTAGGTCTGCTTTTTAAAAAAACTTTTAAATGTTTTATATTTAAACTTTTAGCGTTTTATAAAACTTTTAATGTTTTACTTCTTCCTGGTGCTCACGTTTTATTTCTCAACGTGCACACACCCAGGAGTCATTCTTTTATCTTTAGCATTATTTCTGGCATTCTTGTAGTCTTCGGATGCCAGAATGCCAGAAACAAACCCCTCCTCCCTCACAGCCACACATGAAACAAACAGTGCATAACATCTCAGATAGGATCCTCACCAAAGCCGAAACCAATGTCCTTTCCAAAGGATTCAACTTTGCAGTCGCTCCCAAACACATCCCCACTGAAACCATTATATGTGGAGTTGAAACCAGCCTGACCAAAATCAACCCCGACGACGCTAACAGAATCAGACTCGAAATCACCAACATCCTCTGCACCAGCAAGCCACCCAAAAGCAACTTACCCAAAGAGGAACAGACAGCACTACGTAACCTGAAAGAAGACATCAGCATAATAATCCTACCAGCAGACAAGGGCAACGCCACGGTGGTTATGAACACATCTGACTACCAAACCAAATTAACCAACCTACTCCAAGACTCCACATACAAACCCCTAAATACAGATCCCACCACCTACCTGGAAAAAACCACCAGATACAAAATAAAAGCCTCCCCCATTAGTGAAGAGATCCAGCAAAGAATCATTCCCAGAGAGAAATCATCCAGATGCCCCAAACTCTATGGTCTCCCCAAGATACACAAGGAAGGAACCCCACTCAGACCTATAGTCAGCTCCATAGGCTCACCTCTACAAAACCTAGCCAAATTTCTCGCAAAACAACTACAGCCCTATGCAGAATCCATCACCTCACACGTAAAAAACTCATTCCAGTTTATAGAGATCATAAAGAAACAAAGCTTACAGCCCAGCGACCTACTCGTGAGCTTCGATGTCATATCCCTCTTCACCCAAGTGCCTATCAAAGAAGCCTTGACAGCTATCCAAAACAAATATCACCCCCCCAAACACATCTTAGATCTGACCAACCACTGCCTATCCAACACATACTTCATCTATAATGGACAAAAATACAAACAAACAGAAGGAGCACCCATGGGATCACCCCTCTCACCTGTCATTGCAAACCTCTACATGGAACACTTTGAAACCAAGCTCTAGAAAAATTGGATCACAAACCCAAACTCTGGCTCAGATACGTAGACGACACCTTCATAATCTGGCCACATGGGAAAGAAAAACTGGACAACTTCCTCACACACCTCAACAGCCTACACCCCAAAATACAGTTCACCATGGAAACAGAAGCTAACAACCAACTTCCCTTCCTGGATGTCTTAGTCTACACGAAATCCAATGGCTCCCTAGGACACACCATCTACCAGAAGAAAACACACACAAAACGCTATCTGCACGCTCTCTCACACCACCACCCAGCACAGATCAACTCTGTAGCCAAGACACTCATCTCCAGAACAAAACGCTTAGCTGACGAACAACACCTAAAAACCGAACTACACACTCTCACCAATGTACTAACATCCAATGGATTCCAAAGAAATAAGATTACAAACCTAATCCAAAAAGAAACCCCCACTAAAATCCAAGATGAAGAACAAGAAAACGGCAAAGCCCTCCTCCCATACATAAAAGGCACCACAGACAGAATCAGTAAGATCCTCCATAAACACAACATGCTATCAAAACAGCATTCTGCACAAACAGAAAAATATCCACCATCCTTAGAAACCCCAAAGATAAAATTGAATTAGAAAATCAAGGAGTATACGAAATCCCATGCACCACTTGTCCCACCACATACATCGGACAAACCAACAGAAGAATAAGTGCACGCATTGAAGAACATAAGAACTCAGTCAAAAAAGAGGAACCAACATCTTCCCTGGTCCAACACCTTAAAGCCACAGGACATGAAATTGACTTTAAAAATACCAGAACCATTGCCAAAAGTGAACATTTTAATAACAGAATAATCAGAGAAGCCATCAAGATAGAAAAACGCCCACACAGCATGAACAAGCGAGATGATACCTCCCGCCTACCAGCCATTTGGAAACCCGCCCTTATTGACAAACGACTCCCTAACACAAAAAATGATACCAGACCCACACTCACAAAAACCACACAGGATGTCACCACCACACATCCATGCAAAAAGCAAACCCAAAGCCACACCGATGATGAGGCACGACCACAAACCAGAAGCCAGACCAGAGCTGCATCATTAGCCACTTTAAAGCTCTCCAATCCATACATGAAGCAAACTGACACCCTCCATGAAAATGAGGCACGACCACAAACGCGAAGCCAAAAAATAGCAAGGCAGCCCAAAATCTTAAACTCCTCTGCAACTCAGACTAACCTGAGCACAACCAAACAGAACACTCCCCCAGCCAATCAGAGCACAGCCAACCCCCCAGCCAATCAGGGCACAGCCACCCCCCCCAGCCAATCAGATCACAGCCACACCCCTAACCAATCAGAACACACCTCCACCCAATCAGAACACAGCCAAGCTCCCACCCAATCAGTTCATACCCCCACTGGCAGTTAAAAGGAAGAAACAGCTAAGACCACACATTGCTGCTCGAAGCACGAAGCTGAAAACACCAGCCTGAAGATGACGAATGGGACTTCGTCGAAACGTCGCCAAGACACTTCCAATTTTATGCGGGAGAAAACCCGAACGACCAAAGACCTACATATATATATATATATATATATATATATATATATATATATATGTAGGTCTTTGGTTATTCGGGTTTTCTCCCACGTAAAGTTGGAAGTGTCTTGCCAAGACACTTCCAACTTTACATGGGAGAAAACCCGAATAACCAAAGACCTACATACAAACACCCGCGAAAACCTCAGAAAACATATATATATTTGTTTTCTGAGGTTTTCGCGGGTGTTTGTATGTAGGTCTTTGGTTATTCAGGTTTTCTCCCACGTCAAATTGGAAGTGTCTTGGCGACGTTTCAACGAAGTCTCATTCGTCATCTTCAGGCTGGTGTTTTCAGCTTTGTGCTTCTAGGAGCAATGTGTGATCATAGCTGTTTCTTCCTTTTAACTGCCAGTGGGGGTATGAACTGATTGGATGAGAGTTTAGCTGTGTTCTGATTGGATGGAGGTGTGTTCTGATTGGTTAGGAGCTTGGCTGTGCTCTGATTGGATGGGGGGTTGGCTGTGCTCTGATTGGTTGGGGTAGTGTTCTGTTTGGGTGGGGACTTTGTTGTGCTCAGGTTAGTCTGAGTTGCACGGGGATGTGAGATAGTGAGCTGCATTGCTATTGTTTGGCTTCGCGTTCGTGGTCGTGCCTCATCTTCATGGTGGGTGTCAGTTTGCTTCATGTATGGATTGGAGGGGTTTAAAGTGGCTAATGATGCAGCTGTGGTCTGGCTTCTGGTTTGTGGTCGTGCCTCATCATCGGTGTGGGTTTGGGTTTGCTTTTTGCATGGACGTGTGGTGGTGACATCCTGTGTGGCGGTGACATCCTGTGTGGCTTTTGTGAGTGTGGGTCTGGTGTCATTCTTTGTGTTAGGGACTTGTTTGTCAATAAGGGCAGGTTTCCAAATGGCTGGTAGGCGGGAGGTATCATCTTGTTTGTTCATGCTGTGTGGGCGTTTTTCTATCTCGATGGCTTCTCTGATTATTCTGTTATTAAAGTGTTCAGTTTTGGCGATAGTTCTAGTCTTTTTAAAGTCAATTTCATGTCCTGTGATTTTAAGGTGTTGGACCAGGGAAGAAGTATATTTATATATTTGCGGCTCCCAGTGTTTTGTTTTCAGTGGAAAATGGGTCCAAGTGGCTGTTTGAGTGTTTTGGGTTGCCTACCCCTGGTATAGGGCTTCCTGCCTGAGCAGGGAGTTGGACTAGATGATCTCCAAGGTCCCTTCCAATGTTGTTGTTGTTGTTGTTGTTGTTGTTGTTGTTATTATTATTATTATTATTATTATTATTATTATTATTATTATTATTATTATTATTATCTTCCAATTTAATGGCAGTATACTATGAGGTAACATCAATAGCTGGTACCAGAGGAAAAAAATCCTTTTTTTTTTTTGGTTTGGCCATTATGACTACACCCTTGTAGTTCTTTTTATATCAATGAAATTCCCTGAATGTGCCAGGTTCTAAATTATAGCTAAAAGCCTCCCCTAGAAATCCCAGATCTCAACAAGCATACCTGACCAATTATAAATCTCCTTAGCTTTAGAGAATTGCAACAGGACGTTAATAACAATACTCTTTATTGACATCCCTATTGACCTTTAGTAACAAAGCGGTGTTACTAAATACTTTCAGCCTCTTTAGGAGAAGAGGATGCTGTTTTAACCAGTGGATAGAAAATTGCTTTTTCTATAAAAGGAGATTTAATCACACTGGATGACCTAGAACAGGGGTAGGCAACCTTGGCTCTTTTATGACTCGTGGATTTCAACTCCCAGAATTCCTGAGCCAACATGGCTGGTTCAGGAATTCTGGGAGTTGAAGTCCACAAGTCATAAAAGAGCCAAGGTTGCCTACTCCTGACCTAGAACATCTTATGGCATTATGGAAAATAGGCAAACAAAATATACAGGGGAGGATCATCACAGCAGAATAATGACATATATGCAGAGATGATATATACGGAAATCACACTTCACTTTTAAAGTCATAAGCATGCTACAATTCTCAGTAACAGCCTGTTCTATGATAGTCCTACCGAATTAAGTAAACTTGACTTTTAGCTTATCTGAATACTAGTGAAATGAGTATATAAAATATATGCCTGTGTGTATTCAATAATGCATATTTTGAAATGTTAATGAATAACATTTTAAAACTTTTGTTTGTGGAATTATTTGTTACTTATTAATATCCCATTTTTACATGTAAGAACTATTTGTATAACTTAGGGATTACATATCCATTTCTTACCATAAATGTACGAAATGCCAACAAGTTCAAAGATGGCTATTATAACAAGAGAATAAGATGCTGCATAGGTGTCCACAAGCTGCAACATGTACATCCCACCCTAAAATTAAAAATAAATAATTACTAACAGAAATGCCACTTGCTGTCAAGATGCAATCAGGAACCTAACTAATAATTACAGTAAGGAAAAATGGGGGCTATTTTGTCACCAAGCCCCATCTCACTATGAAAATATTCTGGAAATGGAATGAATATCAAGTTAGTTTTTATACTATGGCAGAGGTTTGCTATTTGAAATTTCTATATACACTAGAAGCAAAAAGAGGGAATTAGCTGTGCAACCTCTTTGACACACTTGAAAAATGTGAAGAAAATGGAGACTATGAATCTAACAGATCTATAAATTTTATCTGTGTTGCTGTGTCCAGCCATACTCAGTCCTTCCAGTTATAGTAAATTACATCTTTAGAAAAGTCTACAGGTAGTCCTTGGCTTACAACATTTGTTTAGTGAACATTCAAAATTACAATGGCACTGAAAAAGTGACTTATTTTCACATTTACAACTGTTGCAATATCTCCATGGCCACATGATCAAAATTCAGACATTTGGCAACTGACTCATATTTATGATGGCTCAGAGTCATATGATCAACTTTTGCGACTTTCTAACAAGTCAGTGAAGAAGCCAGATTCACCTAACAACTGTGTTACTAACTTAACAGCTGCAGTGATTCACTTAACAGCTCAGTTAAGTTCAGTTGTGGTTGTAAGTTGAGGACTACCTGTATATGCTTAACAGGGCCTTCAGTACAGTCATACAGTACATTTTTGTGACCAGCAAAATTTCTCTTCAAACTGCATTTCCTCTGAAGTTAATCTACTCTTTGAGCTGGTTTTACTAATTATAGGAGCTGATTAAACACCACACAATGAAATATGTTTACCTGAGTGATCATAGGAAAACCCATGATGAAAAAGGAAATGCAGCATCCAAGAGTGAACAGTGGCTTGTGGGTACGTAAATACTTTGGAAATTCATCTGAAACAGATGTCACTATGGTTTCAATAGTGGCAAACTGAAATGCCAAAGAAGAGAGAAAGAAATCAGTAGTAGTCATGGGTCATTCGAATGATTTACGGAAGCAGTTTTCATTTTAAGCATTAGCTATCCAATTTCACTACAATGATTCTTCTTGATCTTTTGTTATTCTCTGTGTTTATGATTTCAGCCTTTTTAGAATAATACAGAGGTCTATACAGTATGCTATTTTCCCCATTCAGCCAAGTTGATCTAAATACTTTTTAAGCCCTCCCATTCTTCCATTTTGTTTCAGCCCTTATTAATAGAATAGAGTAGAGTAGAGTAGAGTAGAATAGAATAGAATAGAATAGAATAGAATAGAATAGAATAGAATAGAATAGAATAGAATAGAGCTGGAAGGGACCTTGGAGGTCTTCTAGTCCAGCCTTCTGCCCAAACAGGAGAATTTATACCATCTCAGACAAGTGACTGTCTAACCTCTTCTTGAAAATCTCCAGTGATGGTTTTGCTTCTGGCTGTAATTTGATAATTAGCCCATAGAGACTATTAGTTTATTTTTATTTTTATTTATTTGATTTCTATAGTCACCCATCTCAGCAATTAACTCTGGGAGGCTCACAATTCAAAAACATATATCATACAATTAAAATCTTAACACATTTTAAATCTGTTAACAATATAGCCAGGAGGTGGGCCCTTGGCAGATGTAGCGCCCCAGGCTTGGAGCATAGCAAGGTCTTCAAAGCTTTATGGAAGGCTAACAGGATTGGGACCATTCTCATCTCCAAAGGAGGATATTCCGCAGAGCAGGGGCTGTTGCTGAAAAAGTTTCTATTCTAGTTCCCGTCAGCCAACATTCTTTGGCTGACAGGATTTGCAGCATGGCCATCCTATTTAATCTATTTGGATGGGTAGAAATTCTTGGAAAATGGTGATCCCTCGGGTACCCTGATGTCAAGTCATTAGTTATTTGTGAGATGTTGGTTCTAAACCTGTATAAATGAATTTAGTGTGACTTACTTCTAAAAAACATGAGTAGCATCATTAATTGTATGCTAAATTTATCATAAAATCTGTGCTGGATCCCAGACTGCAATTATTTATATTAAAATATTAATTCAATGTACTTTTTACACTCTGAACTTCTAATGAACAAAAAAGAAGTTTTATATTTATATATATATATATAAAGATTTATCTACCATTGTGTCCAATCCAAGTGTAAGAAGCATCAAGAAGAAGATTATAGCCCAAAACGGGGAAAGTGGAAGCCTAGTTAAAGCTTCAGGATATACCACAAATGCAATGCCAGGACCTAGAATCCAAAATAAAATAGACAAAAATCATATTGTTAGCTTAAAATAAGCAGCATCCTTTGAATTTTGGGGTCATACTGAACAAAACAAAATCCATTTCAGTTTAAGATGACAAAATTTAGAATTTCAGTTTCCTACTTTCCAACTGAATTGTGCATTATAGGGTCACAGAATCTTGTATTCCAATCATAGATTTTGAGCACAAGCAATCTCCAGAAAAATCTAGCTTTTCACAGAAAGGGGATGGCAAAGATCATTATTAGAACAGCAGGGATTTTGCTATACCTATTAAATACAAATATGTCCTGACTGTGAAAAAGAATCTGATATAGTGAAACATGTTTAGAAATAGTTGTGACTCTTCAGAGTACACCCTATTCTATACCAAACTGCAACATAGAAACACAACTCCTCTTTAAAAGATTTGTCTTCTTAATTGCGCCCCATTTGTTTCATCTACTGCACACGAATTTCCTCCATCATTTTTATGTACCATGCAACAAATGGAGAAACTGGTGCCAATCCAATATTTTTTATTACAAACTTGAACAATAGTTGGTTTGGCAAAGCTACTATATTGGGTATTTAAACCCAAAACATCTGGTAGGCAATAGATTTCCCTTTCCTGGGCTACTCTGCAATACACTACTGCCAGTTTATTTTAGCAGTGCAAGAGTTAATTTCACAACCATTATATATTTCCCCAAAATGTTGGAAAACTCTTGTCAAACATAAAATACTGCTTGAAGACTTTTTTTATTATTAGTGGTGTGAGGCAATGCAAGAGGCTGACTTTAAAGCCTGCTGTTAACTGGGAGTTTTTCTTGGCAAGAAGGCTTAGGGGATGTTATATATTCATGAACATACTCTTTCATCTCTTGATTAAAGATTTTTTTTTCTTGACTACTACAGATAAAAATGCTGCTTGCAGAAGCTTCTTGCACGTTTGGAAATTAAATTAAGGGATCAAAATAATGAGTTTCTAGAATTCATCATACTGTGGTAAACCTAATTGCAGGAAATGAAACTGCAAATCTTCCTTGATTGGGATCCTTTAAATTAATTTCATGGAGAGATGGAGGTTATGACCACTGAGAGTTAGATATAGATAAGGGCAGTTGTTGAGCTTCAATATCCGTCCGGGCAAAGACAAACATTGTCCCTTTATGAAATTAACTCACCATTTAAACGGCAGTTCAAATAATATCTTACACTACTGAAATAACTGGCATTTTCCTTTTGAGGCAACCATATTATACAAATATCCACCAAATTTGGTCATTTGGCATTTCAAAGCACACATATGGTCATACTACAGAAGAACATGGGACCTTAAGAAAATATTGCTCTATGTCTGCTTTGGTTCTCTGAGCTTCTGAATCCCATGAATTCAAACAAGTTAGTTCTGTTCTAGGGTTCGTATCTGTTATCAAATTCTACTTTTTTGAATCAAAAGCCTACCTTATCAGGTTGTTTTGAAGTATTAAGAATTAATATACAGCTTTTGCATCGTTACAGCTTTGCAGCCGTCTGGATGCTGAAGCACTTAAACAGTTCTGAAGCCTCTTTCAGAAAGCTGAATCTAAAGCTTTGTAGAGCTATCATCACAATCGCCAAAATCCTTCTTGAGTTTTTATATCCTACTTGAAATCCTAGAGATTTTGAAGCAACTTACAAACATTTTTGATACAGCAAACTAGACAAGAATCATTGGGAAGGAGCTAAGATATACATGCTGCTTTGCACATGTCAGTTTAAAAGAAACAACCATTGAATTTAATGGGGCCATACTCCCTGAAAAGCATATACAAATGGCACTTAACATAAACTTGCTCATAGCTGTATTAACTGTTTTATAGTTTAATTTAGCATTTAATAACACTGTTTAGTAACTAATCAAGTGAAATAGATTTGTTTAGATAGGTCAGTTTGTAAAGAGGCATCCACATTTCATCACATAAATACAACTCTTTGGATGGAATGGTTGTCCAAATGAATAATACACATTTGTATTAAATCAGACGCCTGCTGCCATGGAAAGCTAGTAATGCGGCCCCACAAGATCATAAACTTTTAATATTATTTATACATATATAAATACACTAAGTATATAATTTTAATGCAGCCCAAGATAATTCCTCTTCACTCAGTGCAAATCAGGCAAGCCAAGAGGTTGAACACACCTGTATTCAATAAAGAAATATGAGTACCCATTTCAAGAAAAGAGTTGCAAATTTAACATGATATGCTCACAACATGGACAATTTTTATACAGTATGTGATGTGTGATGGTATGCAAGTATATACATATTTTTCCCCTGGACCTCATGGTTAATTTGTTTTTGAACCTTGGATCATAGCAGGTTTCAGAGCAAATGGCTGCAGCATGAAATCTCTTTACACATACTCTTAAAATTTTGAAATACTGCTGAAATATTTTACAGAGGCACAGAAAGAGAAAGTGTTTATATGCAATCTAGCTTGGACCGGACAAACATTTTTTAACTACACTCTCCAGGTGTAAAGTTCCCAGTGTTTGCACCTATTAAATCAATTATTATTAAATGCCAACAAGATTTTGAGGAGTTCAAAAGTAGTTTAAGAATAGACAAGCTCGTAAGACAGTTATCCAGTGATCAAATATTTATAGCTTGAGAATAACATTATCAAATGTATGTACATTATCAAGATCATTTGCAAACTTTAAAATTCAAATTACATTTCGACATGTCTGACAACAAAAAAAATAGAAGAATTACAGTGACAATTTTCAACCGTACCCTAAAAACATGTATAAATAAGGCAATCGTATTATGTCTCATTGCATTAAACAATCAGTCCAAGGAAGCAAACATCTTAAGAAAGATGATTTAACCCTGTTAATATGTGCAATAAGACAACCTGTGCGAGCTCTCACTGGGGAAGTGGGGCTTTGAATGTAGCTTTACTCATAGTTATTTCATGGAGCCACCTATACAGTTTCCTTAGCAACCATAGAGAAGTAGTTTGCTTCTTTCTTCTTTCAGGATTTTTTTTTTCCACAGACCTATAAATGTAAAATTTTCTGGTGGGAAAAAATGGATTGATCTTGATTTCTTTGTTATCCTCGGAGGAGGTGAAGGGAATATCCCACCACTGACAAAGTGTGATTAGCTTCTACACCAGTGGTTCTCAACCTTTTTAATGCCACGACCCCCAACCGGTCGTAAGTCGAGGACTACTCAACTGGTGCAGCACCGTTTGCAGAATGGGACTTTTGGCGGGCTCAGCAGGGCAGAGACAGCCTGGACAATTCCTATTGGCTTTTGAAAGCCAATAGAATTAGACTCTATTCAAGAGAGTCTATTCTATTGGCTTTCAAAAGCCAATAGAATAAAAGGGAGTAGCACAGCTAAGAAAAAGGGGGAAAAATGGTGGACTGCGTTGTTTGGTGACCCCCCGTGAAATGGTCGTTCGACCCCAAATGGGGTCCCGACCCACAGGTTGAGAACCACTGTTCTACCCAAAGCCGAGATAGGCCTGCCATGTTATCCTTTGACTTAGTCAGCAATCATTCTTTATAGCACAGGTTTCAGGTGCTCCAAGTTGTACCATTTTGCCCAGGTGCTTCATGTGCTTTAATCAATAGGCCTAGGTAGAACATCTTGCACAGAAGAAACCAGAACAATATCAGTACCGCCCAATAGTGCAATATACAAAAAAAAATACATTAAAAAAAATCATACCTTGGTCTGCAACATCTTCAATATCCACTTTGAGCTCATTGGCCATGAATCCAATCACTGAAAAGATGACAAAGCCTGCAAATATACTGGTGGCACTGTTGGTACAAGTTACTATCAAGGTGTCCCTGAAGAAAGGAGGGAAAAATGAAATATATTTATCAGCTTTTTAATTCAGTGGTAATGATATAATAGGCCATGTATATGGAGTATATAATTATAATGTCGTAGGAGTGACATACCAATATTTAGTAATATTCATAATTTATTCATTCCATTTGTACAGCTGCTGTTCAACAACTAAGCCTGGACAGTGAATAATATTAAAATAAAATAAAAAAAATAACAACAATCAGAGTCAAGAGCGGGGCTATCCATAGGGAGGGTGCTACAGCAGAAAAGGTTCTCTTTCTGTGCTCTGCTAACTGGCATTCCTTAGCCAAGAGGGCATGAAGCTTCCAAATGCTCTTCAGGAACAGCCCATGTAGACTGCACTGCAATAGTCCATACAAAAGGCCACATGGGCATGAGTAATAAGTAGGTTGTCCTAGTCCCAGAGAAGGTGCAACTAGTGTATAACCCATATTCCAAATAACAACATTCCCCCCACAACAAAAAAGCTACATGAATAAAAATAATTTAATTCACTTTATCAATATAGAATAATGTTGATATATTATTGATATATATTCCATACAATATGGAACTGATGTTTGTAAAGACAGTAATTCTAAGACAGTAATCACTAATTCCTTATTTCATTGTGTGATTCAATCCAAGTATTTCACTATTAGGAGCAACAGCATAAAGACACAAAAATCTTAGATTTTAAAACAGGGAAAACAATAAATCAGCTTTCACAAACCTTAGTATAAAACCACACAATGCCTTATACAACATACTGTAAATTTTAGGTGGACCTTATCAAATAATGGAACTGACCACTTGTAGGAGTTTAAGGTGAAAGGTTCAAGTGAAGGTTTGGAAGAAAAATTATATATATATAGCTAAGAAAATATTTGAGATAAAATAGTATGTTCTTATGTTGATTTCATTTTTTTCCCAATTTTGTACCTTCTTCGTAAGTTATTCAGTTTTAATACAACTAAAGGGCACCATGTTGGAAATACTGCTTTGGGTGTTACTTCTGAAAGCTGAAACTCCAGATTCAAGTGTCTAATCAGTATCCCATTACTAAGCTGCTTCAAGAGCACACTTGTTGTATATAGAAAAGTGGTAAGTTTTGCGCACATGGGAAACAGAATATTCAGTCTATCTAATCATTACATCCATGCCTCAGTAATTTAATTCTTATAAAAGACAATGTCAATGAAAACATTTAATTGGCAGAAAGCTTTAAGAATGATCCCACAAAGTGTGATGCTAAGCATGTAAGGAGATTTAGAAGAGTTGCCTAACCATTATTTTGAAAGTTCAAATGTTCAACATGCTTATCCAAGGCAGGAGATGATCAGCAATCTTTTTTTTTTTTTTGCACCAGGAATTATTTTAAAATTTATATTGGCTTCAGTAGAGGAGGAAATACCTACAACAATTCCATGCCAACCAAGGCAACATTTGGAGAAGAGGGCTATTTTTTATGTGATTTGATTTTTGGCCTAACACCATCTCATGCTCTCATCAGTTAAAATGTCACAATTAAAGCCACACACAAAAAAAAGAATTAGAACAAATGACAAAAGCAAAGAACGAAAGAAAAACAACAACAAAAGGCCCAGGTGACTTTAGTCAGAGTCTCTTCAAGAGACCTTCTTTTTTTAATAAGTTCCTAAAGCTGCTAGGAAGAAGGCCGTTCTTATCCCAATGGAGAAGGCATTCCATTGAGTCAGCATTGCTATGGAAAAGCATGCTTTCTATCTTCACCTCTCCTGACATTTCAAAAATGTTGGACCACACAGAGCTCCTTCCTGCAAGATCTAACAGATTGGACTAAATCCAGTTAGAGGACGTAGGCAGTGGTGGGATTCAACCGATTCCCACCAGTTTGGCAGAACCGGTAGTTAATTTTTTGTTGCCCAGGCCCAGAATGGACTTCCGGAAGTGGCATCCACACAGAGAACCGGTTGTTCACATATTTGAATCCTACCCCTGGACATAGGCCTTCACATAACTAGGTGCCAAGCATCAAAGATGTTTATAAGTTAATACCAGCACTTTAACTTTAGCTCAGAAAAACTGAACCAGTAACCAGCGCAGAGCCTGAAATATACAGGGCAGGGCAGCATAAAGCACAGCCCATTGCACTAAGCCCTGTGGGTAGTTATGAGAACATGAGTTACTGACTCCAGGTCCTCCTGAACCAGTTAAGGACAAGTAATGGCATACTATCCGAAGTTGTACCATGATCTGCATCTGTTGTTTAAACAGGAGACATGAGGCCAAAAGATAAGATTCCCAAATCATTTGCATGTTGTAACAGTGGCAAGAATTACATTTGCGCAATGTTGGAAGAATGAAAGAGTACCATCAGATGAAGAAATAATTAAAAAAATATTAGAATGCACAGTGATGGACAGATTGACTATGAGACTGAAAGAAAAGGAAGAAACGGATTATTATCAAACCTGGAATTTATTTTACGATTGGCTAGAGAGGAAAGAACAAAGGATTAGGAATTAAATATGTATTAGCATATGTAAACTCAGACAGCACGTTGGTTGAAAAATTATTATTGTTTGTATGGAAAAAATGAAAAAGATTATTTAAAAAAAGATTCCCAAATCATGAACTTACTCCTGGAACAGACACCGGTAGTTCTCAACTTAAAACCATTCATTTAGTGACCATTCAAAGTTACATCAGCACTGGAAAAAAAATGACTTATAATCGTTTTTCATATTTACAAGCCTTGCAGCATCCCCATGTTCAGGTGATAAATTCTCGGAAGCATGGCAACTGGTTCATATTTATGATGGTTGCAGTGTCTCCGTGCACATGATCACTGTTGTGACTTTTTGATAACAAAGTCAATGAGGAAACCAGATTCACTTAACAATCATGTTACTAACTTAAGAACAGCAGTGATTCCCTTAAAACAACTATGGCAAGAAAGGTCATAAAATGGGACAAATTTCACTTAATAACTGTCTCGCTTAGCAACGGAAATGTTGGGCTCAAGTTGTGGTCATAAGTCAAGGACTATCTGTAGTTTTTGTCTAAGGACATCACTGGGGTTACGGGAGACATGTGAATAGCAGCTCTGTCTTACTTGGGTCCAATCTAAGTCTGTTCTCACCCACCCAGACCTTCACAGCCTCCAGGTCCCAGGAAAGAATATCAATAGCATCTCCCCCACAGAGGAAGATTATCATTGGGGATAATAAAAATACTGCTGGCAAATTACTGGATGGCCCGCTGTTAGAAAGCGGGAGGATGAGAACAAACCCTTGCAATACTCCATTAAGTGAGAGGCCACTGAATCAATCTATCCTCCCCACCAGATCAAACTGAAATGTCTCAGGGGTAGTATAGAACAGTGGTTCTCAACCTTTTTAATGCCGAGACCCCAACCAGTCGTAAGTCGAGGACTACCCAACCGGTTGTAAGTCAAGGACTACCCAACCGGTCGTAAGTCAAGGACTTTCCCTGCCTGGGAGCGCCACGCATGCGTGGTGCTGCCTCCTGTGCCAGCCAAGGCGTAGCTTGCAAGCTGCAGAGATAGTGCAGGCCGACCATCGGCTGGGCCACCAGCTGGCCCAGCCCAAGGGAAGTAAGGCACCAGCTGGGCCCCACGCGTGCCAGCAACCCTCCCTGTGCCTGCCGGCCTCCCACCTCCCAGCCCTGGCCCTCTTTTACTTACATTTTTAGTAGTTGCTCAGCAGGGAAGGGTGGAAACTTCCAGACAGCTCACTTTCACTGCAGACAACTTGCAGCACTGTTTGCAGAATGGGACTTTTGGTGGGCTCAGCAGGGCAGAGACAGCCTGGACAATTCCTATTGGCTTTCGAAAGCCAATAGAATTAGGCTCTATTCAAGAGAGTCTATTCTATTGGCTTTCAAAAGCCAATAGAATAAAAGGGAGTAGTACAGCTAAGGAAAAGGGGGAAAAATGGCGGACTGCGTTGTTTGGCGACCCCCGTGAAATGGTCGTTCGACCCCAAATGGGGTCCCGACCCACAGATTGAGAACCACTGATATAGAACTACTGCAAAGCATTGTCCCAAATATTTGCAGACAGTGCAGTAAGATACCATGCCTAATATTATCTGAGTTAGGCATGCTGAGTTATCTGAAAGGATGCTTCCTATCCACAAAAGTTGGGACTTCAAAAATCTCCCATAAGACCGTACTCTAACAGAACCTCCTCCCTCATACCAATTTACAATCGATTGGAAATGAAAAAATACCTTTTTGCTTCCCATGTCTGAATTGTACACCTATCTACTAATACCGAATCTGTTTTATTAAAATATTCAATGACAAGTTTAATTACACAATAAATACATATGTCTCATAGAATTATACTCCTCCAATAGAAGTACAACCAATTTGATTCTGTCAACATTTTAACCACGTATTAAAACAAATACATTGTTTTTGTCCTGTCCTTCTCCGTGATAAATGTACATCTATGCATACATTAAGCATACATTTGTATCAAGATCTCTTTCTGATTCTGTCTCAAAGCAGTGCACACAATTTCATACTGGATGCATCTGCAATCACATCCAATGAGGAATTCAGGTTTTTTTTTCCTTTTTGGTACAGCAAAACAAAATGACGTATCATTGCAAAATTGATTATTCTTTGTTCACAGCAATGTGAAGTCACAGCTGCCAGTTCTTTAAGTGCTGTTGGCCTTCATACGCATTGAGTTCTTCCCATGAACCCAAGATATTATAATGCATAGGCGTAGCATACATGTGGGTTTTGCAAATGACAGATGCAAATTTTGTCAATATGCAGATTTTCTAAGTAGGAGCCAAGATTTTTTGGTATGACACCCAGTGTGCTGATAACCAATGGGACCACCACAATTTAAATTTTCAGATCTTGATACTGTGTGATGTTTTCCAATTCTTTGTCTGTTCTACTATCCCCTGGTAATGCCAAGTCAACTATCATTTCATGATGATGATGATGGTTGTGAACATAATGATTTACTCAGACAGGCTTTGGAATTTCTTTCTTGAGCACATACTGCAGATGCACATACGACCACAATTGAGACCAAGTGTTGTGAGGCATATGTTAAGTGAATTTTGCCCCATTTTACAACCTTTTTTGCCACAGTTATTAAGTGAATCACTGCAGTGGCTATATTAGTAACTTGGTTCTTAAATGAATCTGGCTTCCCCATTGAATTTGCTTGCCAAAAGGTTGCCAAAGTTGATCATGGGACCTTGGGACACAGCAACGGTCATAAGTATGAACCAGTGGCCAAGCATCTGAATTTTGATCACATGAGCATGGAGATACTGCAAAGGTCGTAACTGAAAAACGGCCATAAGTCACATTTTTCAGTGCTGTTATAACTTTGAACAGTCACTAAATGAAGTGTTGTAAGTCGAGGACCACCTGCACTTTTCTCTATTACTTGTTATGGGATATTCTTGTTATTCTTAGTTTGTGACTTTAAATTGTGTAAAAAGGAGTATAAAGTGTATAAATGTTTAAATTTATAAGAGAGCAGACAGAAGAATGAGGATCAGCTTTTCAGCAATTATGTAGCGATTGTTCTCAGTTATACATGAGCTTACCAATTAAATTAGATCAAACATTCTATCCTTATGACACTTTTTCTTTATTTGAATATGGAATTAATGCAACTACCAAATTATTGCTGTGCTACTGATACTGTAAAAATAATGGTGCAATAATTATACCAGTGAAAATCACAAATTATCTTTTCTGCTTCAGAATGCTCCTAACCTATTTCTCAATTACAAAGCTTTCTTTAACAGAGATCATCCCTGTGCTATATTTCATGCTTCTATCCTTGATTCTTGACAATACTCTCGATTGCTTTCAACCCAGCCTGTTTCTAATTAGGACATCCATTCAGGAGGAAGTAGGACACACTAACCCCTGAAGTCTCGTGATTTTTGAAGCAGGGCTATCAGATCTGCAGTGCAAAGATCCATACAACAGTAAATGCAGCTTTTGAGTACCATCCTGTCTTCCAGATTTTGCTACTGGGATCTAGTAGTCTTACTTTGAAATTCTGATGACAGATTGATGCTATAGATGAAGATGACAATGATGACATCAAGCCAAGCTCCAGAGGTTCCTGGATTTATCTTTGTTATCTAATTATTAGGGAAACATTGCTGAATGTTTGTGACTTACCTGTATAGATTGTTATGGAATTTGTTATAGGAAGACAGAGTAATCAGACCACCCCATGCAGCAGATAAAGAGAAAAATATCTGAGTAGCAGCATCTTTCCACACCTTTAAAAAAAAAAAGATAGAGAAAATTAGGAAGGGTTGTTTTTTTTAAAAAAAAAATAGAAATAGCAATAAAAACAGTTAATGTGATTACATAAGGCTACAAAACATGCCATATATAGGTCGTGTGGCAGTACAATGAATCCACATTGATAAATGGCTTCATGAACTTTACCAGGTGTATATTTAAGCCAATAATGAATGAACAAAACAACAGTGAATTTTGAGCTGTGGTGAAATATTTAGCTCCTAGAGGACAGAATACATAAGTAAGTATGTATGTATGTATGTATGTATGTATGTATGTGTATGTGTATGTATGTATGCAGTACAGACTAAAGACATTCCTCTGACAGATCTTGTAATTAAAAAAAATCATATTGCTTCATTCAGATATCCGTTCCTGCAGATATTTCCTATTGGAAGTAGTCTGATTTATTGTACTGCCACACAACCTACATATGGCATGTATGTGTGTGTCTCTGTGTGTGTACAGACATACATGCACACATACACACATATATACATATATACATATACACACACATATCTCTGCAAACTATACAAAGACAATGATTTCTGGGTTCACCCAAAAGAAATAAACTCTTATCACCTAATTTCTAATATTGCTGCTATTAAGCAGTAGCCACATACAACCAAGCACCACATAAATACTACACATAGAACAACTCGAAGCACACATTCTGCTAGAGAGAAGTTCCTTGAGGATTGGCTCCAGCACAAGTCTGAAAGCTCAGAAGACTAAACCTCTGGTCCCAGTGACCGATCCAGATTGGATCCTGTAACTTTTTTATTTTCACATAAAAATATTATTATTATAAATACTTCTAATTTGCTTTTACATTTTTATGTTTTCATTCAGTTTCAGTATTGAATAATAGAATCATTAAAACAATCACCCAATACAAATGCATAATGCAGAGTTATTAAACAATAAAACAAATAAAATCCATAGTATTAGAGGCAGTAATAAAACCTTGGCAGATAAAGCAATAAAAATAAAGAAAAAGCTGAAATCAATAAAATAATGTTAATCAATACATAAACTCATCTAGGTAGTACCAGGTGAAGCTTTCCAGGGAGATACAAGTCTCAGGAGAAGAATATATACGTAATCATCGCTTGTCTAATCTTAGAGGATGCGGTAGCTAAAGAATATACTCTACAAATAATTTTTACAATTAAAAATATTTGTATGGAAGAAACAAATATTTTAGATACACAGACCCCAAATCAAATCAAGATTTTTTTAAATAATTAAAATTAACACTGTGAGTTGTACCCAATGGGCATATTTTTAAATTATGATAGGTCTTATGTAAATTTCAAATACAGCTTCCTATACACCAGTATAATAGCCCTTCTATATATTATCAGGGCATAATGACATAATCAGCTGACTTAACTGATCCTCATTTGGCACTAGAGATCTGTTACAATGACAAACCAGATCTTCATCCTTCCTCAAGTATCTATTTAAGGTTGTTCGGGCTGTCCTACTGTGCTACCTTATCATGGTAAGGAGATGCTCTTAGAAGGGGTGAACACAGAACACCAGTAGTGTATGCCAAGAGTATATATTCCCAGCAGGGCCATTCATGGTACAAAGTTCACCTCAGACGCCCAGATAAAGCAAGCAGGCATCTATATTGGGCATCAGCAAAGTATGCAGATGCTGGAAGCAGATGATTATTTTAGTGACAGCAGCAAAGGCATCTCTTCATGTGCAGGAGAAGGTAATGGTAAACCACTCCTATATTTCTACCAAGCAAGCCACATGAATAAAAAAAATATTAAGTGATTGATGATATTGTGTCAGATGATAGGCCTCTCAGGCGGGATAGCACTCAACATACTAATGAGGAACAGCTGAAGATCTTTCGGAGTATTAATGGTGTTTATGAGGTGGCTGGATTAAAGCCTTGGAGATATCTAGTTGCTGATGTTGCCACACAAAAAGAAAATCCAAAGCTACAAAGACAGAATTATAGAAAGAACGTGGAAGCACGAACACAGGAAAGCTCAGCATATTGAAAGACAACTAGAAAATGACATCTTAGGCCTCAGCAAATTGAGATGGGCTTTTGACACAGAAAAATATATACATGGACAACAACAGATGGAGTGGAAAAAAAATCATACTGACTACATTATACCTTGAAGGAGGAGGAAGAGCTCAATTATAACATCAAAAACATGACCAGATGTTGACTGTGGAACAAACCACAAACTGTTCATGTGCAAGTTCCATAATGCAACCTTGAGCATATGCCGGCCATTCTCAAGGAGAATATCAGGAATCACTTTGAAGTCCTGAATCTCATTAATAGAGAACCAGAGGAACTGTGGAATGAGCTTAAAGAAGTCAATAAGTATAAAAGTGAAAAGAGACTGCCAAAGATGAAGAAACAGAAGAAAGCAAACTTGATGTTGGAACAAACTATGGAAATTGCCAGGAAGAAAAGAAAAGCCAAACCCAAGAAAGACAAAATCCAGAAAGGAAAGTTATGCAGAATTTCAGAGAGCTGTTAGAAGAGATAAGAAGCAGTATTACAATAGTGCCTCTAAAAACATTAAAGAAGAGAAAAGACAGGGAAAGACAGGGAAAGACAATGGACCAACAGTAAAGAAAACTTAAGAAGCAGTATTACAATAGTGCCTCTAAAAATATTAAAGAAGAGAAAAGACAGGGAAAGACAGGGAAAGACAATGGACCAACAGTAAAGAAAACCAAACAAAGATGGAAGGACTATTCTGAATACTATCCAAGACACATCAGAACATATTCACTACTTACAAGAACCTCTAGTACAATGGTTCTCAACCTGTGGGTCGGGACCCCATTTGGGGTCGAATGACCGCTTCACGGGGGTCGCCAAACAACGCAGTCCGCCATTTTTTCCCCCTTTTCCTTAGCTGTGCTACTCCCTTTTATTCTATTGGCTTTTGAAAGCCAATAGAATAGACTCTCTTGAATAGAGTCTAATTCTATTGGCTTTCAAAAGCCAATAGGAATTGTCCAGGCTGTCTCTGCCCTGCTGAGCCCGCCAAAAGTCCCATTCTGCAAACGGTGCTGCACCAGTTGAGTAGTCCTCGACTTACGACCGGTTGAGTAGTCCTCAACTTATGACCGGTTGGGGGTCGCGGCATTAAAAAGGTTGAGAACCACTGCTCTAGTACTAGAAGATGTAGTTAGATTAGCACTCTGGTAATTAATGAGTTGAAAGGCTACAGGCCCTGATGGATACCCACTGAAATATGACAAGCATCAAATGAAGAATCAGTAAAGGGTTTAACTAAGTTATGCCAGCAAAACTGGAGAATGACACATTGATCTACAGATTGGAAGACGCCAATCTACATTCTAATACCAAAAAGGTGGCTTAATATACTGTGCAAACTATCATACACTATTGTTATTATAACATTATATTAAGTTATTACAATATACTTGATGTCATATACTAGCAAAATAATGCTTAGGATCACCCAACACAAATTAAACATGGGAAAGGACAGTGGTGTTTAAGCTGGCTTCAGAATGGCCAAAGAACACAAGACATTATTGTTGATGCATTGCTGAATAATATTATTATTCAGCCAAAGCCAAAAAATACCCCCCCCAAAAAAAGTCATTATGTGCTTCATTGTACAGAAGGGCCTTAGATTGTGTTAGTCATGTCAAGTGGTGGAATGTGCTTAAAAAACTGGAATCCCAGAACATCTCAATGTCCTGATGCAAACCCTGTATACAAATCAGGAAGCCTTAGTACAAATGGAATATATTGAAACAGACGGGCTCCAAGTCAGCAAATGACTGAGACAAATCTGTATACTGTTCTTTTTCTGCGGAATATACAGTATATTAAGAGAAACTGGATTGGAAGAAGATGAATGCGGTTCATATTTCAGATGCAGGGGAAGAAGCATCAGTGATCTGCACTGTGCTTACTGTAGGTTGTCGTAGACTTACAACTGCAATTTGGTTCTCTGGTGTATGCCCAAAGTTCTTCCTGCCACAAATAATATAAATCCATGCAGATATATCTTTTATTATTATTATTATTGAATATTTTTAAAATTTTTACAAGAAAAAAAAACAACCCACCCCAACCCTCCCACTCCCTCCCTCAGCCTTCCCAGAGCTGAATATAGGCTTAATTAAAGTTTCTTGAATACTTAAAAAAAAGTATAAACCATAGATAAGTCTAAATACATTACTTAAACAACTAATGGAATAATTAACAATAATATATATATATTAAAAAAAAGAAAAAAAAGAAAATACTTTTAAAAAAAGGAATAAAAAGAAAGAAAGAAGAAAAGAGATATAAAAAAGTAAAGTAATAATAAAAAATATAAAGAAAAAGAAAAAATAATACAGTCTATAAAATATTAAAATTTATGTATAAGTTATTGAAAAACTAAATAGTATTTTTTTATATCCAACTTATGTTGTATAAAATCTATCCATTTTTCCCATACCACAAAAAACTTCTCTTGCGATTGATCCTTTAAAAAAGCCGAAATCTTTGCCATTTCCGCCAGATAAGATACTTTAGAAAACCACTCTTGCAAAGTAGGCAAAGATTCCTTCTTCCAGTATTGCCCTACTAACAACCTTGCGGCTGTAATTAAATTTAACATCAATATAACCTCCTTAGTATCACAATCGGTAACAATACCTAGCAAAAACAATTGTGGGGTAAATTTTACCTCCTTCTAAAAATTCTTTGAATATTCCACCATATCTTAATCCAAAAGGCTTTTATATTTTTACATGACCACCAAATATGGTAATAAGTAGCATCCAAACAACCACATCTCCAACATTTGGGCTGTAAGTCAGGATACATATGAGACATTTTTTGTGGATCAAGGTGCCATCTATAAAACATTTTATAAAAATTCTCCCTTAAGTTCTGGGCTTGTGTAAATTTAACATTTCTCACCCAGATGATTTCCCAGGTACCTAGTAGAACTGGTTCACCAAAATTTTGTGCCCATTTAATCATACATTCTTTAATTAATTCTGGTTCTGAATCCAATTCTACTAGCACCCCATAAATTCTCTTAATGTGAGTTCGTCTTTGATCTTTTACTTGTTTAACAAAATTTTCATCTTCTCTAAGCAAGCCCACATTACGATCTATCTTCCATCTGTCCGCTATTTGTCTGTACTGAAACCATGAATATATAATATTTTCTTGTGCTAAATCTTCCAAAGATTTTAACTGCCAATTTTTACCATCCCATCTGAGCAATTGTGCATAAGAAACACTATCCATCCTAACTCCTCTCCTTATCCCCTCTATCGCATGCCAAGGTATAACCCATAATGGTATTTTAAAATCACTTCTATAATATTTCCTCCAAATCCGAAGTAAAGAAATCCTTATAATATGAGATTTAAAAACCCAGTCAACTTTTTTATTAAAAATTAAATAGGCATGCCATCCAAAAAGTAAATCCCAACCCTCCAAGAGGAGTATTCCTACATTTGTTAAATTAACCCAATCACTAATTAATGTTAAAGCCACAGCATCATAATACAATTTCAAATTCGGTACCTTGAGTCCACCTCTCTCACAAATATCTTGTGTAATTTTAAGCTTTACTCTTGGTTTTTGATATATCTTGATGGTTTAGTTCAGTCTCACAAAATTAATGCACAAGGTGACCCAGACACTAAGCTAAATAAATTTGAATCTAAATAAATCCATAGAGCAATATTATATTATCTGACATCTGTTCTAGAAACTTGGGCTAGGGGACATATATTATTGTTGTTCTAATTGGTGGTTTTAGGAATATACAGTATGCTGTCCAGAGTCACTGCTATGAAAAAGGCAGCCATTCAAATCGCATAAATAAATGAATACATTCCATAATTAGTTAAATGGCTTATACTATTTCTCTTTAGTTTTAGCTACTCTGTAGGAATCCTCAAGAATGGAATAAATAGACACCCAATCACAGGGTTTTTAGCTTAGAAAAACTAGAGACACTTAGAAAAGTCCACAAAGTAAATCAACTAAAGTCACATAACAGGTCTTTGTTATGTTACAAAATTCATATTTTTTCAGAGCATAGTTCAAACTACTGACTGGTTATAATCTGAAAACTCATAACTGTAATTTTGTCTTTCAAGCATCAGAAATTTGGAATGTTCCTGTTCCTATATTAATTTCCATGTCTTCTCTTGGGTGTCTCTACCTGCTTGTGTAGCCTCTTTTGAATGGGACATCTACTGTTATTTAAAAGTTAGTATTGTGATTAAGAGTAGCAAAAAACTGCATTACCCATGATTATACTGTCATGAAATGATCTCCATTCTGAAACACATCAACTCCAAGACAGTTTTTAGGACTACAGACCTAGAATCGAGTTTAAACTCAATAGCAATTTCCAGTCAGAGAACAGTGTGTGTACACAAGTAGAGACTTAAGCAAATGAAGTATTGTCCTGAAGGAGGCAATAACATTGACCAGATAATGTTATAAATACAGCTGTCATTTTTAAAAAAAAAATATTCTTTTATTGCTTTTAAAATTGTAACAGGAAAGTGGGGAAAAAAAACAACATTAAGAAATACAAGCATGGTCAAATCAAACACAGAAAATAAGCTATCATAAATATTCACAACACATAATGGTTTCTTACTCAAAAATAATTCTATATGTGACTTTATTCCATTATAGATTATATCTGGAATAACAAGCTTACCATAGCATCAATTAATTTCTCCCATTTAGGTGTGATGAAGTACCATATTCCAGCCCCAGCTCCTGGCAGGGTAACTCCTCTGATAAGTAAGATGATAAGCACTACATATGGGAATGTAGCAGTAAAATATACCACCTAAGGAAACATGAACAGATAATGTAACTATTCATTGACACTATAAGATGTTTTTATAACTGCTCATATTTCTATACTACTGCAATCTGAGTCACTCTCAGCGGCTTACATAGAAAAAAATGTTCTATGTAAAATGTTCAAACATCCATGGAAAAAATAAAAGTAATATCACTGGCTTAGTGTTTACAGTAAATTATTGCACAACTTGTCGGTGACATTTGCTTATGGGAATATAAACATAAAAATAACAGAATGGTATGACGTATGCAAAGCCCTAAATTAATAAAATAGCAATGTTTGGGGATAATTAATGCAAAAAGTAACTGCAACTGTATGTCTCTCTCTAGAGAATATCTATTCTCTAAAGGAATATCATCCCTACAGATAAATGGTAGTCTATTAGAGATACATTTCTCTCTACACTATGACTACCAAAAGAATGAAAATTGCAGAGTTGTTCATTTTCTGGAACAGAAGTGACTAATGTAAAATAATCATTCCCTAAGGTCTTTTTTAGATGTGCAATAAATTATGTTGTGGCTTTTATTCCAGCAAATGTTTTTCCACTCATAAAAGATACACATAAAAAACACATTCTCCCAAAGTTCTATTACATCAAGCAACCAGGAAAGCAATGCTGTCTTCAGGGTCTGAGTACTGCCTGTGTGATAACAAAAGGGCAATTTTTGTCGCCCACAGCATGCCCTCCTGGAGGACTAGATGGTCCTCACTCCAAAACAAAATAACACTAATGTAATCAAGACCAATTGCTAAAAAGCGAGGGACATTCTGTACTGTAGATCCATCAGCCAACTCTGGGGTACTATTTGCAGAACTGCTGAAGGAAGAATAAAATAAGCAGAATGTGTTAATCTGGTAAGATTGAAGTAGAAGGAATGGCAGAGCCTGGAGGGTTAAGTTAAAAGAGGAATCACCATAGAATCCCTACATAACCAGACCTGAACTAAATCCAACTTCCTTTGGATCTTTTGTGCCTGATAGAGACACAAAACTGGACATGGCCTGATGGCCTTTAAGACTCACATTAACAAAAATCTATCTTGTCTAAATAAACCAAAAATAACTTTCAGGCTCCTGAAATGGGAACAGATACTTGTCTTTAAGAATTAAACTTGTAGATGGTATGACAGATTTTATGGTGGTTCTCCAAATATTATTTAATTCTAACATTCACACTACTACTACTTCTGTGTCAGAGGCACTGAAGTGCTTCCGTGGTGAAAGTATCTGCTGGTGACATCACCATTGCCCCAGGAATGAAGTTGCCCACCAAAGTGGTACCCATTTATGTACTCCATGTGTGTCAAACTCGCCATGTCATGTGATGTGTTGCGACGTATTGCGACTTTTTTTCACGTTGCCAGAGCTGGAGTGGGTATGGCCTCTGTATGATGCAATCAGTACACAGGCCGGCACTTTGATACCCCTGAACTACTCGATTAGTATCTACTCGAAAATGGTTGTCCATTTTCAAACTGCTTGGTTGGCAGGACTTTGAGCATGTAACGGGAGCTCAACTCATCTCACAGCAGCAACTGGATCTCGAACATAAGCCTGACAATTGTCAGCCCAGCATTCTATCCTCATGAATCACCATGCTCCTCTTCTAACATTCATTAAACCAAGTTATAATGGCCAATAGTCAAGGATGATAAAAAATTATTCTAATAATATCTTAGGAGCAACTGGTTTCCATCCCTAGAATACATGCATACCCCTCCCTTTTCTTTTTAACAAAGCCTGTTAACACAAATAATTGAACACTATTAATAATAGAAAACATATATTTTATTTACTCTAACCTAAAAATGAGGCAGGCTGGCACAGAAAACAGATATACTCTTAATTCAAGTTATTTATATGTGTGATTTTCAGCTGGGTAGTTCTTGACCAGGAATTGATAGAAACAAACATCTCATTAGGAAAGATGAGAGCTAATCTTTATTAGTATTATAGTTAGTAGTTAAATAGTTACTATGATTTTTGGACTATGATTTCCTAAGAATAACATAAAGACATCTAAGCTGTAAAACTCTATAAAATAGCATTTTATTCTATTCCACGATAAAATAGCATTATTATATTATGATTTTCCAAGATAGCTAATCTTTGTTGCCCAAATTCATGTTTTTACCATATTCTTCAATCATATTATAAGCAAATTTCTCTTAAATATATAACCTGCCATCTTTACTCCTCCTGAAAGCCAATGGAATATAAAAGCCATGCCATGAAAAGGTCATGTATGAAAAATGAGAACTTAAAGTTTAGCCAATATGCATATCAAAGAAACTAGCTTTTCTTCAGCTATCATACACACCAGCAGGTACAAAGTTGCTACAACATTTCTCAAAAAGCTATCACGTATTCCAGTAATGCTTAGATTTTGGTATTGCAACATATTCATTTCTGAATTAAAACTAGAAATGGTCTAAAATAATGTCTTACTTTTCCTGATGTTTTTATTCCTTTAGCCAGGGAAGCATAGACAATTGCCCAAGCTAGAAAGAGAGACAGTGCCAAAGGCCACCTGATTTCACCAGGATATTCAATTCCTGCAGAAATCTTCAACACAAAGTACCTAAGAGCCAAAATGTCAGTAAGTCATGACCATTTGTGTTTACCTAGCATCTGCATTAATTGTAGTTGTTTGAGCATTTAAGAATCTATTCCTTTACTTTTTCATTATGATTTTTAAAATAAAAAATAAAAGCAGAGAACACTTCACAGCCACTAAAGTCCATTTATGAGATCCCATTGTCTTCTAAGATACATCTATCCTATCATTCAATTTAACATCCAGTGTAAAAAAGTTAACAAAAAGGGGGAGGTGACAAGAGGGAAGGGTAGGGTAGGATAGGGAAGGGAAGGGAAGGGAAGGAAAACTCTTAACTCTCTAAATGAATGTAACATTTCAAGGTTTAACTATTACATAAACAAATTTTGTAGTCTTGCATGAAGTCACTTTTTCAGTAACTAGATTGCCCTATCATTTCCAGATCTCCATTCTGAGTATGAGCTGTTTTCCTGAGTAGAAAGGTATTAAAATGATCCAAATCTGGAATTTACTCAGATAGATTCCAACAGATCTTGGAAATTTTATGAGCTGATTTTATGACTACCACCAAAACTGGCTGCTTTGCAATATAAAAGTAATTATGAGAAACTAACACTGTTTATTCCAAACTCACAGTGCTGCTGTTTTTAATATACACCAAACTTGAGTGCAATGAAAGGTTCAGAGATAGGTAGAACACCGTAAAGAACATTTCATTATAAGTCTAATCAAACTAAAAGCTGATTATTGAGCCTATCCTGTGGTAGAGGGAAAAAAACACTTTTTCTGTACCATTACTGTATCCTAACAATGTAATCTATCGGGCTTTTCCAAGAGGTTATTACTAAAAAAGATAAATAGATTCTCGGTGATGTTTTGGAACATGTTTCCAAAATATTTTCAGATCAAAATCTCTTAGTTCTACCACAATTACAATTATTAAATTTTTATTCCAATCTGGATATATAGTAAGGTCAAGGTGGTGAACATCCATAATACTCTTGCCTCTTAATTTTCCTACAACCATCCTGTGAGGTGGGTTGGGCTGAAAGAGAATGACTGGCCTGAAGTCACCCAGCTGGCATTCATGCCTAAGGGACGCCTAGAACTCACAGTCTCCTGGTTTCCAGTCCAGCATCTTAGCCACTACACTAAACTACCTCTCTGAAATCTGAATCTGGTTTTAATATCATGGATATATCTAAAGATATAATTATTTCTGGCTTTTGAGTCTCAATAAAGGGGCAAATCCACCTATTTTTATGTCTATCATTCTTTAACCAACTCTACCTCAAGTATTATATCTAGCAGGAATACTCAGTGCTACTCTAAGGCAGTGGTCCTCAATCTTTCCAGCTCTGTGGACTGGTGGCAATGGGCAGGGGGGAGAGGTGATGGTTTTGCGTGTGCGCACATCACTTGCACAAATGAAGCTTTGTGCGCTTGCCCGTTTGCACGACCTAGTTCCCAATGGGCCACAACCCAGTACCGGGCTACAGACCAAGGATTGGGGACCCCTGCTCTAGGGAATTAACATTAGGAAATGTGGCCACATTAATTAAAGTAATATTCTGACCTCTGAATGCCAAGTATGTTTTGAATCCAAAACCATAAATTGTTTTGCCAACACAAGGGCAACCATTAAATAACCTTTGTCCAAATGTTAGCATCAATTCATATTAATCAATATAAATAAATACTAGATATACAAAAAAATCATACAGCAAAACTAGAGAAAAAGCATATAGATAATATTGTAATCTTCTCTTCACTTGTTTTATTAATTGAGAAATTTATTTATCCAGCATATGGCATATTACACATGGACTAGCATTATTTATTACTATTTCACCTAGCTTAGTACAATAAAATATAAATGTTAAAAAGATCTAAGTCCAAATACCAACGTCTAGGCCATCTAACATATTGATTGAGAAGTGTATATATAAATAAAAATGATTGATTACTCCTGCATCCACTGTTATCTGAATGATTTTCCATTTCCATAAGCATTGTTGGGAGTCAGGTGACATACAAATTGGATAAATACATAAGTGAGGAACTTTCTTTCCCTTCTTCTCTGACATTTGCTCTGGAGAAGTTTTCAATCTTTTGGATCAGACATGGAAATTGCAGAGAAAAGTGGGAAAAATCAGCAATGTTCAATTGCTAATTGCTTAGTGCTAATAGAAGACCACGATTGGATCCAACTGTATCCTTAAAATGAAAACTTTAGACAAGATAGTCTTAAAAATATAATACATTTAAATATAGAAATAAAAATATCTACCACAAAGTGGTTTTTAGTGCTAAAGATTTCCTTTAATTTTTTTTTAATTATAAAACTTTTATCAAACAATCTTACTTGAAATATTCTTCACTGCCACTGACAAAAGTCTTGTTGACATGGCTGGTATAATTGACCATTGTCAAGTTTGGATAGGCACTCATACAAGAAGTAGAGTTTTTTATTTGCAACTTGGGATGGTCACCAATGATGCAGGAATCTGACAAAAAAAGCAAATCAAAAGATTGATGTTGTAGACCAAATTATATTCAGTGACTGTTGGGGAATAATAATTAAGAAACTACCCCTTACGGTGAAATATATTTCACTTTACACATGTATAGGTAGTCCTTGAGTTAAACCAAAGTTGGAACCAAAATTTCCATTGCTAAGCAAGGAGCTTGTTAAAGGAGTCACACCCAATAGTTACAAACTTTTTTGACAAATCACTGTAGTTATAAAGTGTATTAAATGGTTCTTAAGCAAATCAATTACTTCGCTTGTCAGAAACAGGCTGTGAAATTTGCAAATGGCGATACAGGATCCCGGGATGCTGCAACAGACGTAACTACATGCTAGTTGCCAAGGGCCTGAAATTCTGATCACGTGATTGTGGGGATATTATGACAGTTGTAACTGCCAAGACCCTAAGTCACTTATTTCAGTTCTGTTATTGCAAACTGTTGCTAAACTAATGGCTGTAAGTCAAGGACTACCTTATTTGTATGCAAATACAGTCTCATGATCACAACAACTGTCTTAAATATTTTGACTCAACTCTGCAGGCGCTTTTGACCTACCCTGTGAAATAGCTTCTCACAGAGGTTAGTTTAGCATTAACTTAGTCATTCTTTAGTAAAGCTATCACGACAAAGTTGTTTTGCACAGTTTCTGGAAGTTAATATTGCCCATACTAACATAAAGGGAAAGGGGGGAGGGATTAAAAGAGAAAACTTGAAAGGTAACAAAAAATACATAAAATAAATATATATAAAAAGTGATCTCCAACTTTTTTCAATAGAGAAACAATTTATAAACTACAACAAGGCTTCTATTAACTTTAAGTAAATAATATCAATACCTTAAAACCTTTATAATATGAATAATCAATATTCAAGACAATATTCATATATTCTTAGTTTAACTTTAATTTAACATATGAAAACCTATTAACTAAAAATAAATCATAGCCATATATTTGACAGCACAGTTGAACCTTTATAAAAACATTATACAATAGACATGCTCTCTTCATTCTGTTTTTTAAAATATTTTTTTTCATTTATCAAGTGGTAGGGCTTCTGTATATTAATAATTGCAGAATTTCAGCTTAAGTCAATGTACTACGTGCCACGAAATGTTGCAATTGCAAAAAGGCTCCAATTAACAAAATTATCAAAACTGTTTTATTTGTGGGCCATATAATACCGTAACTTGGCACATTTAACCTTTTTTAATGAAAGGGGCAAAACTATCAATTAGTTAAAATTACTAGGAAATGACCAGGAAAAACTATAAATGAAAAAAGGACAGAACTAGAAAGCTGTTATGTCATTATTGTGAAGTCAGATGTTTATATGCACACTATTTTCAAATATTGGCATGTAATTGTTATTACAAAGCTCAAATCCTTTTTTACAAATGACCTATAAATAATTTCTGGTGTTATATCTTGAGCTACCAGCAGAGGGGAGAATAGTTGTATGCTAAGGCGGCTGAGAAAATATTTACAGACCCTGTTATATCCTGGTCATAAACTGTTTTAACTCTTCACCTCAGGATAGCAATATAGGGCATTGCATGCCAAAACAACTAGACAGTTTTTTTCCCCTCATGTCATCCTTTTGCTAAACACCTAATTCCCACAGCACTGTCTTATAGCTAAGGATATTTACCCATGTAGTAGGGCTGTATTACTATTATCCTTTTCATCTTTACTATTACCTCCTCCTATTGGTATCTTATAATTATATTACTTTATACACTGAGAGCTTATGCATCAGAGACAAATTCCTTGTGTGTCCAATCATACTTGGCCAATAAAGAATATAAAAAATAAAGAAAGTATTTGAAAAAGTAAGCACACCCCTTGTAAAGTATTTTTTTAACATACATGAATATATCAATACTTTACCTTCATTCCTATAGTATATAAAGATAAAGGTGATGTAATTGAACAAAAAAAAACTATGACAATTACTTTGCAAACATGTATTCAACAGAAAACTAACAGATATGCCATTTCCTCATGTGTGAAAAAATAAGTACACACTTGGCTCTAATGCCTCTCAGTCCCCTTTGGCAGAAATAACCTCAAGTAGATATTTCTTAGAGCTGTCACCAGCCTTTGTCATAGACTGAGAAGATTTTTTTCCCCACTCCTCCATGCAGAATATTTTCTCTGTATGAAGAATTTCTGACATGCACAAGAAAAACCTCAAATCACCCCATAGCATCTCAATGGGATTTAAATCAGCCTTTGATTTGGTGATTCCGAAAGTCTTTTTAATCCATTCCTTGGTGATTTACTGAAATGTCTAGGGCAGTGGTTCTCAACCTTTATAATGCCACGACCCCCAACCGGTCGTAAGTCGAGGACTACTCAACCGGTCGTAAGTCGAGGACTACTCAACTGGTGCAGCACCGTTTGCAGAATGGGACTTTTGCCGGGCTCAGCAGGGCAGAGACAGCCTGGACAATTCCTATTGGCTTTTGAAAGCCAATAGAATTAGACGCTATTCAAGAGAGTCTATTCTATTGGCTTTCAAAAGCCAATAAATTAAAAGGGAGTAGCACAGCTAAGGAAAAGGGGGGGAAAATGGCGGACTGCGTTGTTTGGCGACCCCCGTGAAATGGTCGTTCGACCCCAAATGGGGTCCCGACCCACAGGTTGAGAACTGCTGGTCTAGGGCCATTGTCATGTTGCAATCCCACCTTTCAGTTGAGCTTCAATTTTCTGACAGATATTTTTACATAATCCTCAATCATTTTCTGCTACAATGGAAAATTCATAGGAGATTCTGTGTTGGTGAATTGCACAAGCCCTGATGCAGCAAAGAGCAGCTCCAAGCCGTAAGATTTCTACCACCATTGCTTTATAGTTAGTGTCAAGTTCTTCTGTAGAAATGCTATTTTGGCCTTTCAACAAACATGTATTATTCTGCTACTGTGGCTAAAGAATTCTATCTTTGCCTCCTTTGTTCAGTGCACATTATTCCAGGAATCCTGATCTTTCCCTAGGTCCTCATGAGCAAGCTTCAGTCTTGCCCCGATATTCTTTTTGGACAGCAAAGTTGTCCTCTTGGCATGTCACTTATGTAGATCTAATATATGTTGCTTCTTTCTAGAGTCATGGTAAGCGATGACATTCTGAGTTTCTTAGAGACTTCTTTCAGAATTTTGCATTCTGTTCTTGGGCTGAACTTGCTGGGACAGCCTGACCTAGAGAAGTTGGAAATTGTTTGAAATGTTCTCCATTTTTAGTTGATCTTCTGGACAGCATGACTGATGTCCATTTGTTTGGCAATTATTTTTAAATCCTTTCCAGAGTCATGCGTATCTATAATTTTCTTTCTTAAGCCCTCAGAGAGCTCTTTCAACCTAGACATGGTGATGCCCCACACTTCAACAACACAGAGAAAATCATACCAAATTGAGTCTGAAATTAAACCAGCCAGATTCTCTCTAATCAGCTTCTAATCATTTGCATCTAATTGATGTGCCTGGTTTAAATTTGAAGTATTTGAGATAGTGATAAATGTAGAGGTATACTTGTCCGCACATTTACACTATAAATAGACTAAAAATGTAAATGTAACATGCTGTTTGCTATATTATATCTATCAATATGTTTGAAATGAAGATCAAATATCTGTATGTTGAAATATGTTGAAAAATAAAAATGTTCAATGCAGTGTACTTATCACATGACTATGTATTTTCTAAGATTACCACAATCTAATGATAGTATTATATATATATATTTCAACCAGTAAAATCAGTTTCTCTGCAACTAATGTTATGCCTTCTTATGTACAGGAAATATCTAACATTGACAATAAAGATCTGAACAAAGAGTGTAGCTTTTCAAAATTGAGGTATAATTCCAATTTCATCCAAATTTTGGTAAAGGGATTATTGATGCTACCAAAATTCCAAATCAGACAAAATTATATTAATTGAAATTTGAAATACATTTATTGAAGATGCTGTTGAATGTATATTTGTAAGATTTAGTAGCGCATAAAATTATTACACTGGTTCTCAGTCACCGAAAATTTGTAAAACAACAGAATGCTATGTATAATCTTTTTAGGAGAATTTCCCATTCAGTGCAATGAGATTTACTGCCTAGTAAATATTACACACAAAACATTTGTATTTATGGAATCAGGTTAAATGAAGAACCTCCACTATCACATCCACTCAACCCATCAGAGTGGGAAGTTAAGGCATGTTATGGGTCCCATTGATTAGGCATTGTCATCTGATGTGACCACAAAAAAAGGCCTTCTCGATGGTAGTCCCTTCTTTATGGAGCATCATTCCCTCCGAGATATGGTTGGCCCCCACCCTGCTGCTTTTCTGAAAAACCCTAAAAAAGTGGCTTTATCAGTGGGCCCGAGGACCACAAAGGTAGATGGAGCTCCAGTGACTGTTGTTGCCATGAGGGGTGGAATGGGAGTTTTATTATATGGTGGATTTTTAAAAGTTTTGTAAGCTACCTATTTGTAAGTTGGGTGGCTATATAAATTTGTTCAACAAATTTATTACTGTTGTCTCTTTGATGATAGTCCTAAAAGGTGCATAATAGTAAAGCATGTACAGGATATATAACAAAGCATGTGTAAAATGGATTGGACTTGGCTTGTTTTGACTGTATCCAAGCATGAGCAAGATTTCAGAGTGACATATAAGGTCACCTTTGCTGCACTGCAGCAAGCTGGGGTTTTTTTGTTTTTGTTTTGTTTTTAATACAGCTTAGTTTACTTGAGCTGATAATTTGCCTGCACTGAATAATTCAAGTCAGCAGAGGGAGCAACCTTTTTGCAGCAGAAGACAGAATAATCTTTGTATGAAAACAGAAAATTGAGGAGTTTCAGGAAAGTTGTTTTTACACAAGCAATGAAATATACAAGAATTCAATAAATTTGCTTATTTTTCCTGATACTAAAATTGTTTTAAGAAATAAAGACAATAAGTTCCAGTTGGAAAAATAGCAGGAAAGGATGTATAAATGAATTGTGCTTCCTCTTATTACATATCTCATATGATTTCCAATTTGTACAGTTGTAGAATGGGCAAAAGCTGTTATTTTCCTCTTTTTTTGAACTTTGCAAAAATTAGCAAAGCAAATTATTGGTTTATGGGATGCTTTAAGTAGCTCTACCACCTTTTTTTTCTTTCCACTCATTCATGCAAATATCTTTTTTCTTTTTCTTCCTTTCAATTATGTCCAACTCTTAGAGCCTGCCTGGATGTGTCCCTGCAATTTTCTTGGCAAAGTTTTTCAGAGGTGGTTTGCCATTGCCTCCTTCCTAGATCTGTGGAGAAAGTCACTGGGCCAAGGTCACCCATTTGGCTTTGTGCCTAAAGAAGGACTAGAGCAGGGATAGGCAACCTTGATTCTTTTATGACTCGTAGACTTCAACTCCATGGCTGGCTCAGGAATTCTGGGAGTTGAAGTCCACGAGTCATAAAAGAGCCAAGGTTGCCTACTCCTGGACTAGAGCTCACAGTCTCCCAGTTTCTAGCCTGATATCTTAATCACTACACGATACACACTTGCATAAAACCTTAATAAATTCTGTAACACTTACCATAAACATAGCTCAGAATTTGGAGGTATCTATTAAAAATATATCGGGAAGATAATAGGTAAGGGAAGCCATTGATCAGTCAATAATAGGTAGGGGAAGGTACTGATCGGTCAAAATGATACTAACTTGACACTGTTGTGAAGACCTGCTGCTTGCCACAACTCATATTTCTAGCCAAAGTTGCTACTAGTCAAAATGGTTCTTTGTCTTCCTGTACTGTTGTTGCATTTCAAATCTTCTCATTCGGTTTGATAGAAATAGATTACTTTTGACGGCATCTCTGAGGAAAATTTCAGCCAACTTTTCATGGGGCCTGATTGATTGATTTATTTTGATTTTCTTTTTTTAAAAAACCCTCCATTATTTTTATAAATAACTTAAGGCAGAGAATGTACCTACTACTCCTTCCTCATCCTATTTTCCCCATAACAACAACCCTGTGAGGTAGATTGGGCTGATAGAGTATGACTAGCCCAGAGTCTCCCAGTCAGCTTTCATGCCTAACTTAGGACAAGAGCATTTGTATTTATCTTAATAACAAAGTGGCTCAGGAATGTTTCAGTAAGGACATATTTTGTATGGAGTCGATAGAATTAATTTATAGTAACCGATCTCTGAATATGCTTTGGCTTGTTACAGGTATAGTACAGATCAGTAGCCTAACAGGAATGTAAGCTTTAAAAATATAAAAGAAAAGCATGCCCCAACTTACCTAACAAAAGTTTGTTTTTATCTCTACAATCAGGTGTATTCCACAGATTATTACAGGAAGCCCAAGGTAATACAGGTACAAGGGATGCAAAAAGGTAGAAAAGTGTATAGCACAATATAATATTATAATATATGGCTATTAGGACAGAGATAATCAGCATTGCAATGCCACAACCTGAAAAAAGAAAATAAAAGAGATATGGTTCTATCTCATTTTACATTCTTGGAACCAAAAGATCATGAGGAAATCAACTACTCCTACGCAACTACCGTATTTTGTCTAAGTTATTTTAGAGCTTTTTGTTGGAGACAATTCAACATGCAGTCCCATCCTATTTTATTTTTAATCCCAAATTGACTCGCCAAGTTATGCTCAAAGGAAATACATGTTTGATTCTAGCTTGCATCAAATTGCCATTAAGTAAATCGGGATGAGTACACTGGCTGCATTGCATTTACAGTTTTAATACCATCAAAGAACCCTTGAATCTTGCTGTGCATCTTCTATCCACCCTATATATAAATATGATTAACATGGTTTGCATGGGTTTTTTTAAAAGTATGGCAAGTACTACACTGCGGTATCACATGTACTGGATTCAGTCAGAATGCTGCAGCTACACTCGCCTGCTGTGAAATGCAGTGATGGTTCGCTAAGGCAGGAGAAGTACTGCATTATTACCACATCAGTCAAAGCAAGGTCGATTCAAGGTCAAAATAAGACTGCAAAGCATCGCCCGCCCGCTGCTCTCTCACAGCGCCACCCAGAGATCAAAATCATTTCCTATCTCTTGATTAAGCTGAAGTTAATCCACAGTTTCCTAATTTCTAAAAAAGCGCAGGAAGTAATCCATTTCAAAAGCTTACCTTGTAAGGCAGGGATGGCTTTCCAGACAGACACAGGTCCCTGACTAGCAAATTGTCCCAGAGAAACTTCCAAGAGAAAGATAGGAATTCCAGCCAGAGCCAGCATTGTCAAATAGGGAATAAGAAATGCACCTAATAGGAAAAAGGACCAAGTGGGAGAAACCTTAAACACAGAAAACAAGCAATCCTCATTTCTTGTTGCTGTTTTACAAGTTTATGGAAGCTGTTTCATCTCATGAAATTTTGTGGAATTAAGGTATTTCACCTTTAATAAATTTTGCCAAATTCATACCCTGGAGCTAGGTGGAATTCCAGTTCCAATTGCCATCTACCAGTTCAGTGAAAAGATGTCAAGTTGAGGAAGCCTAAGAAGTGTACGTTCCTACCCAGTTGGGGGTGGGGCAACAAGGACGGTATATTGATCAAAAAAAGGACAAAATTCTTTGGGAATCAGAACAATAGGCATCAATGGGATTTTATCTGGCTGCCGTTAATCAATATTCTATTATTTAATAGGTTTACTTTAAATAGCATTAAATCTGGATTTTATTAATGACTAAATCTGGCTTTAAACAACGTGCCTAGCCATAATTAATGCATTCATGGTTTGTTCAATTAATTCAGTTAAGAGTTTCACATACTGTATTATCCCAGAAAATGAAATACATAGGTTGATTTCATACATGTTAAACTAAAAGGTGGTAGATTAGCTTGCAACTCAGTGCCCAGCACAAGCCCAATCACTAAACAAGACAAGGCTTACAAACTACAATGCTTAGGTTTGCTCAATATGTTACATTATGGATTAGCATAACATATGATCCAGAGTTTGTTTTTTCATCCACAGTATAAGTTTTATTTTCCTCCAGGCCAACTTGACTTTTAGGTAAAATGAGGGCAGTTGATTCAGCATGTATAGATGGGGCAAGGTATCAAGGAACTAACCTGTATGCACAATTCTTTCCTAACCCTAACCCTAATCTATAGAGAACAACATTACCCTATTGTAAGATTAAACCAGTCATATTTCTAACTCAGCGGTTCTCAACCTATGGGTCGCGACTCCATTTGGGGTGTTGGATTAGTGTTGGATTAAGCAATGAAATCCGATTATTTTCCTGGAATATGAACGGTCAGCATAAGACTAAAATGCAGGCTGATTCTGCAGTAAAATAAACTGAGATTATACGATCAAGGGGGAAATGGGCACATTAATATACTCTCATTCCAGTATAACTTGCATTCACAAAAAGGGCCAAACTTTAGTAATTTCACATAACTGAAAGCCAGTCATGGGACTAATTCTAACAATTTCTATTCTGAAAGAAAGAAAATTAATTTTTTAAAAAAATATTTAATCCCTTTATTAAATATGGTGGCAAAACATACCTAATCCTCCTCCTATTTTCCCCATAAAAATAGCCGCGTGAGCCGAATTGGGTCGAGAGAGAGAGAGAGAGAGAGAGAGAGAGAGAGAGAGAGAGAGAGAGAGAGAGAGAGAGAGAGAGAGAGAGAGAGAGAGAGAGAGAGAGAGTGACCCAGACAGCTTTCATGTCTAAGGCAGGACTAGAACTCACAGTCTCCTGGTTTCTAGCCAGGTGCTTTAGCCTTTAGATTTTATTGGATTTGTAGCCAAGAATGACAACCTTCAACAACGGCTAAACACCATTGGTAGCTTGCTGAACAGCAGTATCACAAAGAAGCAACTGCTGGTTAACTGTGTCTAAACTCCAAACAAAGCAAGGTCAGGTCCCCTTGGTACTTGGATAGGAGACCACCAAGAGATTTCAGGACCATAAGCTTAGCTCTGGGCGTCTCAACTTTGCCAACTTGAACACGGAGTTGAAATCCAGACATCTTCAAGCTGCCAAGGTTGACAAACACTGAGCTAGATAGCAAAGCCCCCCAAAAATAAACATCCCAGGAGAAGCAGTAGCCAACCATTTCAGTTCCCTTGCCAAGGAAACTACACGGATCTGCCACCCAAGCCAATTCAAGGCATCTTTAGCACGGTCACAAATAGGCTTCATCCCCCAACTAAACAGTGAAGACCCCATTCTCACGGGGAAAAACTTCACGGGGATAACTTCCCAATGATACCCCCCCCCTTCTCGACCCGACCTTCTCTAAATCAGCCACTCCCCCAATCCGCTTATCTCCCCCCCCCCCTTAGGGGTATTTACTGGGTTTCTTTCGGCGCTGCGTTCAGCAAGGAAGACGTGGCTTGCCGCCACGGCCGCCAGCCTTGCTGCAGGTGGCGCGGCTAATTCAATTAGGGCTAATCATTTTTCTCACCATCACCTACAACTGCGCCTCGGAGCTACCTGGAGTGTGACGGCAGGAAAGCCGGGGACCGGTTTAGGCAGAATCAAACAAAGCGAAGCCAAAGGGACCGAAAGCAGCGCCGCCCTAACTAACCCTCACTTTAAAACAGTGTTTCTCAACCTTGACAATTTTAAGGCATGTGGACTTCAACTCCCAGAATTCCACAGCCAGCATTGCTGGCTGTGGAATTCTGGGAGTTGAAGTCCACATGCCTTAAAATTGTCAAGGTTGAGAAACACTGCTTTAAAAGCTACCAGCTCGCTAGCAATACGGCGCTTCTCGGCGAGAGGAGAGGGACAGGAGCGCACGGCGCCTTGATCGGCTTGCGCTGCAAGCGCGCAGATTTTTGCGCACACTGCTGGCCCCGCTCAAAAGAGCGAGCCACTCTTTAGCCTTATGGGTTAGGCTTGGAGAGAGAGAGAGAGACCTCGCTTTCCTCGCGGCCAAAACAGCCGGTTTGTCTCGAGGCTACGGCGTATATACAGAGAGACTCGGACTTGGAACCTAAACTCAGGCAGCAGCGGTAAAAGATCAGCGAAACGTTTGCACGTTCGTGACCATTCGGGGTTGTGGGTTTGTTTTTGTTTTACAAACTAGGTGACCCAGGCTGAGCCTTGAATTCGAAGGGAAGCGAAGTTCGCAACAGCGCTCGCAAGTCCCTGAGTCTGGGGCCCACCCACTCCGTGCACATTGGCGTCAAGCCCCGCTAAACAAAAGAAAAGAAAAGAAAACGAATTCACTCCTGGATATCTACTGCGCCAGTTGATTCTTCGTCTATATATGATTTTCCACCAGCCCCATTAAATTAGAAATCAGTTCCCAAGGCATATTCTATTCTACAGAACCTGGACGTAGGTTTTCAGGTTTAATGCCAAGCTATATTGTATTATTTTCACTCTCTCGTTTGCTCTGTTCATAATAGAAATAAAGCCTGACAGCCTTTAATAATGACTGGAAATTGTAAAAAGAATTACTGCGGTGCAACCCTTTGTATATGTGCTCACATATACATATACAGTGGGATTTATTCCTTGCTATATATGTGCAAAATTGCATTGTTCAAGATTTTTTTTTTCCCCACATAATTTCCAAATTATCCTAGGTAACCTATTGATTAACATTTTTCTGTAGAAAACAGGAAAAACAACCCAACATTCCGCAGGAAAAAAAATGCATTATTTTCTTTCAAGGAAATCTGAAACTCTTGTGTTCATACCCCAAAACTTTTTAAAACTATAATTTATAACAACTAAAAACTACTTTTATCACAGTATATGCATTGCTTAGTATGCAAATAGCACTGACACGGATACAAGGCTACCAAACCATGATTGCAAAAAGTCAGGCAACTTCTAGATGGTAACCAAGAGTTTTCTGTATCGATAGGAAGGTGTAATTTGTTCTAATGGGAATGGACAGCATATTTACATAAATAAGTAATCCTTTATGTTTTTAGACTAAAAATATCCGTTTCTAATCTGTAATCTTTAGCTCAGGGGTTCTCAACCTTGGCAACTTTAGGACTTGTGGACTTCAACTCCCAGAATTCCTCAGCCAGCAAAGCTGGCTGAGGAATTCTGGGAGTTGAAGTCCACAAGTCTTAAAGTTGCCAAGGTTGAGAATCCCTGCTTTAGCACTTCTACTTCTGTTATTCATTAAACTTATTAAGTTTAGCAGAATTTACATTGGTTCATTCTTTACTTAAGCCCTGTCCCCTTCAATGAGGAAAAGGAAAGGGTTAAGGAGCCTAAGGGATTTTTTGCTGATCATATCAAAGTGAGAACCAACCTCCACCATCAGCTTCTCACACCCGAAAGGATGAGAGTGAGAAGTCCTTATAATTGATTTATTTTTTCTTCTCCTTGTAGAGTTTATCGCTCTGAACGGGTTCGCTGAATTAGAATTACACTGATAAAGAATCTTTCACACAGGTCCCTGGTAAGAAAGATGATACGTTTCTATTCCATGTTTGCAACGTGAATTAGAAACTCCACTTGTGTACTGGGAAAACTGCAAGGGCATTTCTCCTCTTGGTTGCTCACCCTTCAGCAATTTTGATTAAACCATAGGATGCCAAAGGGCATCTCATCTGCATTTCACTGGTTTTAACTTTAAATGTTTACATTTTAAAACCAGTTAGTGCGTGATGGCTATCATTACAATGGAAAGACATGGGTCTATTTACTGCCTTGGTTGCTCCAAAGCAGCACTCGTAGGGAGAGGGACAACGTTTGTGAGTCTTCCCTCAAAAGTCATTGTAGCCCCACCTGCTTGACTGGATGGCAGCACTGAGTGGACTTTGGCTGCCGAGTGGATTTTGGTTGGACAACTGCTGGGAATTCCAAGACAGATCCTGACCTCATCAGGAGTTTCCTTTACCTACCTTTATAGTGCCACCCAATCATCTTTGTGGAACTATAAACCATTCTTCATTGCTGAGACATTGTCCCTTTGTTGAATGACGCTATAAATTCCTCAAGAGGAAACGGCCAATCCCTTTTTCCCTCTCCCGACCCCCTCCCAACCCCCTCCCAAGTTAATTTGCTGACTGCAAACCCAATCTAAAAAAAATAGTGAAACTAATGAGTTTGGATTCAAGCCAATCCTCCCACCAGTTGAGATTCAACTGACTTTGAGGGTTATGCCCTTTTGAGCTGCACGAGGTAAAAAGAGTGGAAAATCCATACCTCCCCCATTCTTAAAGGCCAGGTACGGGAACCTCCAGACATTGCCCAGCCCTACTGCATAACCCACCATGGAGAGGATGAAGTCCAGCTTGCTAGACCAATTGCCCCGGGCTTTATTTTCATCTCCTTCATCGTCCTCCTGCTGCAGAGAGATAATAATAATAATAATAATAATAATAATAATAATAATAATAATAATAAACTACAATTACATTGACTCAAGAAACAGCTATCGGAAATCCTTCCCAAGTGATATAAATAAACATCTCTTATGGTTCCATGGCTGCATTCAAACAACTGACTAGCCCTAACTCATGATTAATTGGACTGAACTAACCTAACTGTTTAGCTTGGCACATCTTTCTGGGTTATGAATCGACCAACCTAGTGTGTTCTGGTGTTCTGACAGTTGACACAGAGATAAATATGTTGGGAAAGAGTGGAGCCAATCATTCTGAAGAGTTGGCTATCATCCGTTTTGCTAAAACTGTGGAGACTTGGGTATAAATCATGATTTGGTCATGCTCAAAAAATTAAAGATTCTCACAGGTTGATGCAGAGTGCCAAACACCAGGCTACATGGAATTACTATATCCTGATGTTTTGGGCTACATATTGTATCTGGTTTGTTGAAACCCACTAGCCAGCACAGCCTCAGTTGGACATCCCCATAAGAGTCTCCCTTCAGAAAAGAAAAGCATTGAAATGAATGGGCATAAATGTTCTTTTAACCAACTCCCTGGCCTTCACAGGGTATATGAAACTGTAAGTAGGTTGGTGGGGTTCTTGGCATAATTCTGCCAAAGTGCTTGCTCAGTTTCTGTTTTTAAAGCCTGTGCACAGGGCCAATGGCTTGTCCTCTGGTTTAAGTAAATCAAGAGAAGGTAAACTAAATCATATTTGCTGTACACGTCAAGAGAACTTGGCTTCGAAACGGTAAATCCTGCAGACAGTGAGGGTCAGGAGTTGGGCTTATTGGATTCTCCAAAGATAAACTTTAAACTGGTGGGGGGAGGGGGCAAAGAGAACAGCTTGGCAGTTTTCCAGGGTGCTTTTGATAAGCAGCAGGGGTTCAAGTTGCAACCTATATTGGGAAAAACCCTGCAGGAATTCTGCTCATTGACTTCCAAACAAGGCACGCTGCCTGCTGGCTCTCTGGAGTCTGTAAATATGGTATGACCCCGGGAGATTCCCCTAATTCAGCGGAAATGTGAACATTCCTTTCTGATTTTTCTTCACTGATTTAGAATCCTCTTAGTTAAGGTTCTTGAGAGCATCATTTTTGAGAACGATGCTTTTAATCTTAGAACTTCATCCGGGAGGTTAAATCAGCAACCTCTATTAACTGAAGGGCATGTGTCCCATTCGATAACAACCAGGTGAGGGGCAAAGAAGCTGCTTTGTTTGCTAAGACCCTGAAATGAGAAAATCACCACGGAAGATATTTCTCCTCCTCTCAATCATGAGAGGAAAATAGCCAACAAGCACTGGGAGGTTAAAGAGAAGCCAGGGGAGAGGGTTACAGTTCCTTCCCAGATATTTATTGAAAGAAAATATTCCTCCTGGAGAAAAAAGTTTTCCTTATCCTATTCCTTCTGAGCCTGTATTTCCCTATCTTGCAGACCATCAGTGTTCTGATTTGTCCACAAATAGCACCTAACTTTAGTCTGGCCAGAGATGAGCTCCACTTCGTTGTCTTCAAGGCACTTGGCCAGGGGTAGGCAACCTTGGCTCTTTTATGACTGGTGGACTTCAACTCCCAGAATTCCTGAGCCAGCATAGCTGGCTCAGGAATTCTGGGAGTTGAAGTCCACCAGTCATAAAAGAGCCAAGGTTGCCTACCCCTGCACTTGGCTTTCTCCCTGAAAAAAGCAGAGCCGGCCCTAAATACTAGCCCCCCACCCACCCTCAACTGTTCAAAACTTATGCCTTTCCACTTAACTTGCTCCCGAAGGCCGGAAGGAGAAAATCCTCACGACCAGTTCTGGGCAAAGATCAGAAGGTAAATGGAGACTTTCTCTTTCTTAAGGTCAGGGAGGGATCGGACTACAACCTCCATCACTGCCAGCCAATGGAGGAGGTTCCGACGTGAGACGGTTTGAGCGGAACGCCTCCGCAGCTCTTTTGCTTCCTACGCGCCGGAGCTCCCGCTGCTCCGAGAAGGGATCAGGTGCTCCGCAGTGGCGGCCGGAAGCCCTATTTTTACAGCCCGCCGCAGCGCCGGAGCCTTTGCGCGCTGACTGACTCCGAGTAACGATTAAACTGTCTTGAGCTGAAGTGATTGATCGCTTAGCTTGGCCACTGGGGCTTCAGGAGGCGGGCTGGTCCCCGTAGGCTCTTTGGTTGGGTAGTTTTTCCGATTGTGCACCGGTCAGGGGCCAGGCAGGCCGACGGACAAGCAGAATCCCAAAGGGTGACCTGCCCGACCCGGCTTTCGCTTGGTTTTACCGGCAGCTTTCCAAGAAAAGCAGCGCAATCCTGGAACAGTGAAGGCGGCATGGTGGCAAACACTTCTTGGAGTTAATTTCCCCGAAGACGCTACTCTATAATCGCTTGTTCCCATTGCTGGGCTGGCACTTTTAACCAAGTTTAGCAACTCACCCGATGGCTTGGCACGCTGTATGAAGCCAGAGCTCTCCGGTTCAAGCCACCCTTTAACCTTGAACCCTACAGGGTGACTTTGAGCCAGCCGCCTCCTCCCAATCTAGTTTATGTGGCTATTACGAGCCTAAAATACACCACCTGAAACGTCTTTTACGGGCCACCTTATGAAGATTTTACCTTTTCCCTGAACAGCAGCGCCTGCTGCCTTTTCCCTTCTTGCACTGGAAGAGGCACGGAAGAATCTAGCCTTGATTTTCTTTTTCAGGGTCGCTCCTCGCCTATCTCAATTTTGAATTGTTTTAAACCAGCCTGTCCCGAATTGGGAAATGTTGGCCTGCACATCTCCTAAGTCCCAGAACGCAGTTTGGCAATGATGGTAGCCAAGATCTTCTGGAGTTAAAGGGCCGGGTGGTTTCAAGGATTTAAGGATTTAAGGGAGAGATGATTTTTGCGGTGTCAGGACCTAAATTCTGAAAGAGACAGAGCAGGATACATGGGATGGGGGAGGGGACCACTCACCTCAGTGATGGTGCCAGGCAGAACAGATGCGATTCCATCTGTGCCCAACACCACGGTACTCTGGCTCATGTTCACCCAGCCGGCCTTGGTATTGTTTGGCTCCAGCACGCTCTTACCAAGACTTTGATTAGCCGGCCCAACCGCGCTTTGCAAGGGAACGATTTTGCAGGGGGCAATGTTAGCTGGTGCGGCATTCCCTGCGCAGGGGGCATTCTTGAGCGTGCAAGGATCGGGGGGATCTTGGTCGGCTGGGGGGTTGCCTTGTGCCGAGGCGATTTTGCCGATCCCAACTTTGGTGCGCTCGGTCTTTTTGGGTTGCCCTTCGTCGGAGGGCAAAGAGTGGCTGTCGCCTGAGAGAGCTGAGGCCATTTTAGCCAGCTGAGGTGGGACTTGGGACTGGAAGTTCTGCGGCTGTTCGGTTTCGGGACTGTTTCTGTGGATTCTTGCCCTCTCCAGTGGCCCAGGGGCGACCACGTCAGGGCTCTGAACCAGCTGCTCGCTCATCTCCTTGGGATAGGCGTAATCCTGCAAAAGTAGAGGGACAATAAGAAAGAAGAAACGAACGGCTGCCTTCCTTCGGCTCCGTTCCTCGAAGAAGGTTTCTTGAACGTTGAGAATTCTTATGAAGGTTGCGCTGCTTAAGGCATCAGGGAGACGCTGCAGCAGATTCCATTTCACACTCTAACCTAAAATCGTTTCTTCCCCCGCAGACCCACATTTCCAGCGTAGGAAACAACATCGCCCCCAGCTCTCTCTTTGCAAACCTTCTTTATTTTCTCCTCACGACTGAAAGATGTTCCCCGCTCCTTGCACCATTGTAGGGAAAAAAATATCTTTAATTTTACGCCTCATTTCCTTTCTGTCTTCAACAGTGCATACTAGCTTTGAGCTGGAGGGGGGGAGGGAGAGTTAAAGCCGAACTACCCTACATGCAGCTAGCCACGTATAGAGAAATTCAATAACACTGGTTTCTAAATATTCCCAACCTTGACCTCCCCTCCGTACTACTACCGGTGGGGGAGGAGCACAAGAAGCATAAAAACCCTGAATTATATTTTCTCACATCCCGTTACTCCAAACAGACTGTAATTTAATGCGATTTATTTCTCAGTAGGTATTCCGAGAATCTCAACCTGGGTAAGAAGAGGATTGCATGTGTAGAGTTATAAAATTTAACCACATTCTCCAATCTGTACTTTGACTGTCTGCCCCAGTAGACAATTTTAGTCTACACATAAATCATTGCAGCTCTGTAACATTTTCCTCAGAAACATTTTTGCTGTAGAGAAAAAAAAATTCTTTTGAAAAGCGAATGTAAAGGCAGAAGACACATTCTTCCCAATTTTGAATCGACCCCTCCCTCCAAAGAAACTCACACAGTCGGCAAACGCAGATCCAGAAAGTAGCAGATACTAAACGACGTTCCTACATAACATCTTCAGAGAAATATGGAGTTTCAGGACCCTGGACAGTGCTCACACGCTGACTCCCGACCAAGTACATTTTTCTAAGCCTTGATTTCTAACTACTTTTAACCCCAAAACAATACGGAACCACCGGCAAGATTAAAAAGTAAAATACCGTTTTCTCCCAATCCGAAGCTCCAAAAAGAAAAGAAGGATGAAAAATAAAGCCCACTTACCATATTTACAATAGCATCGGACAAAATCTTGTAGAGATAGAAGGCTGCAGGAGCTGGGGCGAAAAGGGTGGAGTGAATTTTGCTCCGTTAAGAGCAAAGCTTTCTATAGCTCCGTGAGAAAGACTGGGTTTGCGTCAGTGCATAGCAAGGTACCCTTCCTATGACATTTTTGTGATAATAAGAGTTTGATAAATCATTACCCTCGGATTCGAATTTTTAAAGCGGCAACAGGAACAGGCGCGCAAGCTAGCTGTCAGTCAGGCGGCAGTTGGGATGGCGTGCTTGGTGTGACTCAGGGGGAAGGAGGGGAGGGGAGGGGGGGTGAGAGTTTGCTAAGCCAAACCCAGCGAAAACCGTGTGCGCGCGTGTGTGGTTAATTAGAAAAAGAACATGTGAGAAACACGTCCTATTGCACCCAACGCGCAAACAGGGGCGACAGAAGTCTTCTCCCTCGTTAACGCACAACTCCTGCCTCCAGTCAGTAGCTCCTCTACCGCCCCTCCGAAAGACGCGGTTCACCGCCTTTTCCTGCCTTTCATCTGTCAGCAGCGGCATTTGAATTTAATGTCACGATTCTTCTGGAAAGTGAACGGAAAAGATTTCCCCCTTCCTGGACCTTTGTCCGCCAAAAACGCAGCGGGAGACCCAACGCCTTAGACGAAATTCACCGCCTGCCCAGAGAAATATTTATTTTCATCGAGATTATTTTTAGTACATAGAGGTGTCAGGAGAAATATTCCTCCCAACTCGCACACGCACAGACGAACCCGGGCGCACACGCATACACACACACACTGCTGAGTGAAGATTTTCAAAGACTGAAATCCTAAATCCTTTCTTTAAAAGAACAAACTAGTATTGGATTACCCCATTAAAAAGTTAAAGTGATGTTGGGGTTGAATTTGCTATGTGGTGTTAGGAAGCTTGACATCACATGACCAGCCTTCCCCAACATTCTCTCAAATTGAGTTGGGACCAAAAATGCCCAGCCTGCATACCCTGGGGAGTATCTTTAAGTATCTTTAAGCAAGATTTCTTCATGGACTCACAGGTTATATAGATGTGTAAGTAAACCAGACAATAACAGCAAACAAAGCAACTGTAATCTCTGCATGATACCGAGACTTGATAATCCAAGACAGATGCTGTAGGTCCGAGGAGATCCCTAGGAGAGCCTTGAAATTGAACATCCATTAGGAAACTGTGATTAACAGTAGCACGAACTCTGATTGTAAATTTCTGTGCAATATACAGTAAAATCGCTAACAAACGGTTAGCTTAAGAACTAGAACTATAAGCTTGATTGAGCACAAGTTGACTTCAGTGGGACGATTCTGCTTATTTCAATGGGATAAGAAATATGCATTTGTGTCTGTGTTATTTGTGTTCCATACATTAAGTGAATACTGGTTTTTGTGTATTTTAAAAATGCACATGCGATGTGTTTTAAACAACCAAGCACCTTTCAGATTTACAGATGTTTTTTAGACAAGGAGAGAAATGTGATTGGATAGTTTATGCGGAACTTCCAACAAGCCTATTTACTAGAACGAGGTAGCTCCTTAGATAATTCATAGACTTTATAGTTTGTCACCTCTCTATATGAGATTCAAGGAGTGAGTTTGTTTTATGAGTACTCATTATAACTCCTCAATCACAAAGGCTACTTTATGAAACAATTACAAAAATTGTATAATGAAGCATTTAGATTCACTTTATCCAGTACTCATTTTCACTACCTGGAAATGGGTATATCAAATTTCTTCTCCTAGTCCACATCTTCTTTGAAAACAAACCCACTTTGGAGTAACAGAGCAGGACCTGCTTAGGAGGGACTTAAGATGATGATGATATCATGAAATAACATTTGTAGTTTTAAAAATGTACAAGTGTATATATTAAACACTATGAAGGTAAGGAAAATAACTACACTCTTTTATCTTTTTTTTTAATTGTTAAAATGAATATCCACTAAGTTAAACTCCATATTCACTTAGTTAGAAATTATTTCAGAAGGAAGGGCATAACGTATCCAGAGAGGGGAGTGTTGGAATATGGACTTTTGCAAATGCATTCTATTGACCTTACTCTGTCTGTCTGTCTATCTATCTGTCTGTCCGTACATTCATCCATCCAACTTATATAGCCTCCCATCTCACAGCTGATGACTCTGGGTGGCACGTAACAAAAATAAAACAATAAATATATAAAATCATCCTTACAAATATTAAAAACATTCTTTAAAAACTATAATGTATTAAATATACTCTGAATTAGTTTTATATTTATTTGATTGTTCATAGAAGTCACTTATCTTATGCATAATAATTTTAGCTGGATCACAAGAACAATCAATAAAACTAGGAAAGTAAACAATTGTGGCTTAACATTCTTTCAAAATAAGAATATTTCAGAGTTTTGAGCCTGAATGAAATTGTAAGAATGGGGTGAGGGAGGAGAACCCTTCGTAGCTCTGCCTATCTCTTAGCATCCTCACTTTCCCCCAAGGGTAGAGCAATTTCTTTACATACAGGAGCTAAACAAAACGTGACAAGTCACCAATCCAAAAACACAAATTTTGTTGGAAGGATCATTTATAAAAAGAAAACAAAATGTGCTGATGTGTCTCATTCTATAATATATAGGATAGGACCGATTCATAAACTCTATAATAATGAATTTTACACCTGCTCATCTTCTTCAATGGCAAGGAATTTAGTTAGTTGTTCGTTTTCTTCAGTTCAGGCATTGGAATCTGTTTTTGTTGTTGCCCTTGTCCTAAAATTCTAATGTAATGACAGCCAAATAAATGATGCATCTTATTTTTTAAAAAAATCGCAAACTAATGACATTGGTTTCGTGAACAATTCGTTTCAGGCATCTGATGAAGTGGCTCGTGATCCATAAAAGCTGAACTGCTAAGCTTTTAAAGTGCACAAGGCTTTCTGGTGGTTTTTGGATTAACCAAAGTTAATTCCAGAGACCCCGATAATCCAAAAGAATATATAAATTAACTACTGAACTAAAAATCAATTGCAAAATGTTTTTTCCCAAGGGCATCGTCTTTTTTTTTTTTTACACACCCAAGAGAGAGCGTTAATTTTGTATTTGCAAGCCTCTGCACATTTACTCAGGAAGACGCTCCATTCAGTAGAATGGGACTTATTGCTGACTGACCATTCACAGAACTGCTTGGAGGCTTAATTTAAAAATAAGGCAGAATTTATTTTCCTAGGCAAGGTGACATCAACACGAATTTAGTTAGCTCTTTCCGTCACACTGCCCATCTATTTATAGTCAGAAAGTCCAAGCCCACCAATATATACGGGCTGCAAATTAAACCCAAGGCGAAGAGTGCTTCCTAAATAGAGGTGAAAAAACATCATTATCATCGTTATCGCTGAAATATTGTTTTCTATTGTCATCCAATTGTGGAATCTGTTCATCTAAGTTAAGAAACAATAAATTCTGAAGATTCTTGTAAAAGAAACAACAAAACACTCTCTTCTTCCTTTCAATCTCTGAGATGTCCTCGTGGCTACCAGTTCACATTGATTGAAGTGGTCATTTTCATTTTCCATGACCTTCTTGATTTGGAGGCCCGTTATATAAATATAAAGGCTGGCAAAGGCTTTTTTTTTTTTTAAACCCTCTCCACAACCTTTCCGGAGATTTATCCCTCCCCCATTTTAAACCTTTCTTCCTTTTGAGGGCAAAAAGGGCGGGCATCTGTGCTGCGAAGAGGGGCGGAGGGGGGGTCTCGAACTCGCGTCATCCCTGCCAGCTCCTGAGCTATGCTTCAGAGCCAAGAAGGCTGGAAGGTGGCTTAAAGCCTTTGGCGGATCTGCGCAAAGCTGCGTATCAAGCAAAAGAGGAATGACTTCTCCGGACCTGAGCACTTTTCGCCCAGGTCTAGGACTTTGCTGTGGGGCCTGGCTCGGAGGCGGCGCGGGGATGAAGCGGCTGGCGCAGCAGTGACTCAGAATCCTGCGGCTGGAACGAGGAGGGCGCGTGAAGTTTGAAAGCGCAAAACTCCCGCGCCGAATCCACCACGCCGGCAGGGAAGCTGGCGCTCCTGCCTGGGCGCCACACAGGCAGAGGAGCAGTAAGAGAAGCGCGGGGAAAGAAGGGATTTCGGTCGGCACTCCCGAGCTTCCTGCAAACCGTCCTCTCGCCCCCCCCCCCCCGCCGAGTCCTCCTGCACTTTTTCTCCTCGAAGATGGACGATCAGGGGGCGGGCGCATGCTCTTTGGCGCGCTCTGGAAAGGGACGGGTGGGGGAGCAGACTGACTAGCTCTGATTTAGGGTTTAGTAGTCCCATCTGCGAAAGGGTTGTCTCTCCAGTTTTTGATTGGGGGGCGGGGGGGCGGGTATCGTCAACTGCAAGGCTATAAGACTAACATGAGACAGTAGAATAGAAAAGGGACGGTCATTCCACATTCTCCCGGTGGGGGATCTGCACCATAGCAGGGCCTTTTTGCTGTTTCAGCAGCAGTGACCTTGCATGTGCTGTGAAAGACGCCTGGTGTCTGCAGTGCTCTTGGCAATAGAAAAATAGGCGCCTCCTGTTGAAAGGTGCAAATGCTCTTTAGAGAGAGGTGGGCATGCACAGAGAGAGATGCCCTGCATTTCATCCAAAAATATTCCTCTTGAGTGTTATGTTAGAGACACACAAGTTGGATCCCAGACAGCCCTCAGAGCACTTTCCTAAATTGCCATGAGTTATATAACCACTGTTAAATGGAGAAAAATATCAAATGGCAATTTATCACATTAATCGTTTTGTTTAAATAAGCTTAGTTGGGGATGGGGTTGGATTGATCGTGCTCATTTGTTGAACTGCAAGTTGATATAGCCTCTGGTTTTATGGTAGGAAGCAAGTTCAGCTCCCATCAGAAAAAGGGAGAATCTAAAAATAAGGTCTAAGGTTTATTGTTATAATTTGTGCTTTTGTCTCCTGGTGCCTGCTGTGTGGGCAAGTCCTTGTGGTTTCCTAGGCAACTTTTCTGTAAATGGTTTGCCCTTAACATTTAGATTAGGACTCCAGGTTTTGCTTCTTGATTTATAGCCTTGACTTACCCGGAACTCTGGACAAGAGCTTTCGTCTAAATATAGCTTTGCTAAAAATGATGTGGACATGAGCAGAGATGCTTGGAAGGGAAAAATTGGAAAGGTAGACTATGATAGAAGCATATCCCATCTTCAAAGGACAGAATTAAAGAGAAT